AGGTATGATGATATTAAGAGAATACTTCGATGGACATTTATTCGAACAAGTCCGTTATGAATGAATTAATTAATAGAACTTACTTTTATCTCCTGGTGAATTTAAACGAAAGAAATGTGAACAACCCAAAAGAATTCGATCACCATGTCTTAATTGTCTTTCATTATCAATCAATTGACCATTGACATATGTTCTATAAAAATGAAAAAAATATAAATTTAAATTTTTCATCAAAATTTTCATTCAAACTTCGATTTATTTAAAGGTATAAGAAATATTTGATTTTGATTTCTTATTTCAATAATACAATGTTCTGGTGAAATACCAACTCCAATTAATTCAATATCATGTTTTATTGATGCATCGGGTCTACCAATTGATGTCTTTGTCTAAAATTAGAAATTGCAAAAATAAAAAATAAAACTATATTTTGTTTAATTGAATATTTACTTTTAAATAATAAACTAATAATTCATTAAGTGCTGGATCAGGATTTAAATTAACAAGATATAATCGATCTTTTTCAAGACCAATACCAGAACTACATACAGATATACCACTTTTTTCAAGTAATTCATGACGTTCCTATGAATATAAACAAAAAAAGAAAACTTTTTACATCGAAAAACAAAAAAAATCATTTTACTTTGCTTATTTTATCTGTTTCAGCAATACGTTCTTGCCAATCTTTAGTTATTGTTTGCATTAATTTTTCATTTTCGTTTATTTCAGCATTAAGTTTTTCAGCTGATTTTTCAGCTTTAGCATCAGCTAATTCTTTTCGTAATTTATCTATTTCATTTCTTAATTCTCGTATTACTTTTCCTGGTTCATCTTCATTAATAATAGCATGATTAACAATTTTCTTAGCTTGATCAGCATAACGTAATGTTGAAAGTGTTTCTTCATAATTATCATATGCTGGTGATATTGTTGCTAACATTATTGTAAAAGAATTTCCACCTAAACTATCCTAAGAAAAAGAGAAAAAAAAAAAAAAACAAATATTTCAAATGTCTACAAAAAACAAAATCATGAAAAAAAAAATAATATTAATTTTACTTTTAATAACCAAGTTAATACAGAATCTCGATATGGAACAAAAGTTTTTTTTATTGATTTTGGATTATTTTCATATGATTGACGTGTAGCCAATGCTGATATAACAAGACCTAATGTTGAAAGAGATCTTAAAAAAAAAAAACAAAATGTTAGGAAAATTTTAATTCATTTGTTTTAAAATTTCTACTTGTTTATATTGCATCCTTCTCGAAAACGAATTTGTTCTATTTGAATACCACTTTTTGATACACGTTCAGATCCAGCTAAATCAACTAAACTTATTTTGCTTACTTTAACACTTTGTGTCTAATAATATAAAATTAGTTTTTAAAAAAAAAACTAGAAAGAAGAAGCATATTTGATTTTACTTCTGATGCTTCAGTTGATAATGTTTGAGTTAATTTAAGAGTAAATACAGCATGTGATCTTGAACTTTCAGTATTCATATTTGTTGATGCTACTGTTCGATAATTATTACCTTCGATTAATAAAGTTTCTATTTCCTAGAAATAGATTTATTATTTATTAAACATTAGAATTTTATTATAAAATCATATTCAAAAAGGAGATATTTTTTTTTATAAGAACAAATATATTTAAAGTTTTGGTTTTGTAGATGATGAAATTTCATTAAAGAGTCTTTCGAAAATCAGTAGGATTTACTATAGGGCAACTTATTTTGTCAAAAAATTTGACACAATTTATTTGAAAAATATTTTGTTCGCTTTTTCAGATTCCTTCCTAGATCTTTGCAACCAGGTGAGAACAGCAACGGTTATTGGATACGTTTCCATAGGAACGAGACAAAATGCATTAATAATAGCAGTGCTTTGTCGATTCTGAAATCTTTCATAAAGAATATCACAGACATAGAAAATTATGCACCAATTGTATTTTCAGTCTAGGCAAAACTCAACTGTATAGGTCGAAGTTTGTCAAGAGAAAGCACGGTATGCTCATGATTTCTGTCACTTTCTATAGCATGTATCGTATGTATTATTATTAGAAGAAAAGAATTTATGTATTGAAGATCTAATTGACAATACGAATAAAGTTTGACTATGTTAAATAAATTAAATATAAATTAGTAGAATAGAACTTCTACATGTACACATTTTCGAAATGATAACATTTTAAAACGCACGTATTAACTATAAAAATCATTAATTTGATTTATTCATTCATTTGACATTTTTTTTAAAATAAATTGTTTTAATCTAACAATATATCAAAAATTTATAACAAACAAAGGTTGTCAATTCCATACATTCAACTCTTATAAGGTCGCATTGACAAGTTTTTATTATTACACAAAAATACACTTCTATAAATAGCTGGTCATTTTTCGAGGCATTGTATATGGCATAATTTTTCTCGATATAACAAGTAAGAATTAAAATGAAGTAGCTCTTTCAAGTACTTCCGTTTGAAGTGCTCTTTCATATAAAAAATAATTAAGTATACAGAATAAAGGGCCCGTAGAGAATTTCAAATTATCTATTTTGGCCTCTCGCTTGATGAATATCGACTTATGTTAATCTTTTGAAGATCCACATACAGAATTCATTACGCTTTTTTATTTAAAGAGCTTCTTAATTTTTGCATAACTCACGAACACAAACAAAAAAAAAATATCGAGATGCAACGATCAAGTTTTGTTGACTGATTTGAAGTATACTATTTGTTTTGCTTGCAAGTATATGTGCAGTTTTTTTGACAATATTTAACCTATGCACCTCAAAGGTTATGTTAGAATAGACGATCCTTCATTTCTCACTGTTATCTCCAAATATAGGTTTCCATAGTGAATGTTCACGTTTAATGAATTTTTTTTCGAAGAAGACTGCATAAATTAAACGCGATGGTCGATCGTAAAATAGATGTATTTGAGAAACTATAGAATAGTACTGCATTTTAGTAAAAAAAATCAAACATATATATATATATCATAAATCATTCAGGAAGAAGAGGCTTTAACTTGTTCGATGATTAAAATTTGATGTTATCAATGATTACATGAGTTATATCGTTAGGTAAGATTATCAATCTGTCAATCTCTTAGATCGTATTTGCAAAGTCACACACCATACTTGTTTGACCCTGGATAAAATAATCGATATGTCATTTTGTAGAGAATGAAAAACTGATAGTTACCATAGTGATAATCGAAAACGTCCAAAATTGATAGCTCTCTAAGAGTATGAAGTTCTCAAATTTTTTTTTTTTATTTTTCATCTAGTGATACAAAAAATAAATATACAGAACAATAAAGACTTTCATACTTTATTTTTCTATTCTATTGAAGATGAGATGTAAAAGAGAGTGTTAGATTTATGATTTTACACAGTAATAAATTTTTAGAAATGTTTAGCTATTATCAACAAGTAATGATTAAAATTGTCTTATGATTAATTGTATATGAATGACAAACAATGATTAATTTTTATAATATATGATATCAATGAAATTTATTTCTTCTATATTTTTATAATAAAAATTCTCATTCGATTACTTTTCAAATATACTTTTCGCATCTGACTATTCAATTCAATAAAACAAAACAAAACAAAATTACCTGATAAGATGTAACAACAAGCTGTGATAGTCCATCTACATATGGTCCAAGAATTTTATTCTCTCGTACTTTTAATGCATAATGATTACTAAATTTATTAACAAAAAAAAAAAAAGATAAAAATTAATAATCATATTAATATCAAATATAATAATTTACTTATTTGGATTTAATAAATCTCGTACTTTTTCATTATAAATTTCAAAGTAAGATACTTCAACACGATAAGTTGATGAAAATTTTAATGATAATATATCATTTAGTTTTTCATTATCAACTGCTTCAATACTTATATCATTATTAATATCTTGTTTTAATTCATTTTCTATTCTATCAAACATTGATTGACTAAGACGTGGAATTATACCTCGATCATTATGTGTACCCATCATTGTATAAGATTTACCAGAGCCTAATCAATTAAATTTTATTATTTTTTTTTGTTTTTATTAATCAGAAACAACAACAACAACAATTTTAAATCAAACCTGTTTGACCATAAGCAAATATACAAGCATTATAGCCTTCAAATGCATGTTTAACAATTTCTAAACCAAGTTTATTGAATATAAATTCTTGACCTTGATAATAAAACAAAAATAAAAATAAGTTAGTATATATTTCAAAAATAATTTACTAGCATAATTAGAATTATCTAAATGCATTGAATCAAAACAAAAATCATATGAAAATGTTTTAGGTGTATTATGTCTAATAAGAAAAAAAATAAAATAAATAAAATATAATATTTTATCTATAAAAAAAAAGATTTACTTTTCTTGAGATTTATTGACAAGTATTTGTGAACCATGAATTGTAATAATAATTGGAGATTTAAGATCAATCTAATATCAATATATTCAAAATAAAATAAAATAAAATAAAATCATTTTTTTACTTCTCGTTGATTAAGTGGTCTAGCTCGAACAGCAACTTGAACATGAGCTTCAGTTCCATTCATTTTCGGCATAATCATTGTTTTGTTTTTGTGTTAATTTAAATAAATTAGATAATTATACTCAATGAAATAGTAAAACTTCAAAATCAAACTAATAATCTTTTATCAATAAAACGGCTACTATCAATTTCAATTAATCATTGTTCATCGTGTGTTCTCTCATATCGATTGGTTACTCATTTCAACGAATGAATAACTAGGCTTTTTTTTTTCTTGAATGATTCATCACTTTTTCTTTTTTTTTTTTTTTTATTTTTGTTTGTGCTTCTGATTTTTTTTATAAACACTTGTCTACCTTCTCTTTCTTTCTTTCTATCCTTCACGATTATTTTTTCTTCCTCTTCAGGGTCTTAATTCAGATTGTTGTTGACTTAGATTAAATGTCTATATTGGATACCTGAGAGAATGTCTAATAGTGAATTTAAAGCACGTGCACTTTATGATTTTGCTGCTGAAGGTCCGAATGAACTTAGTTTTAATGCAAATGATATTCTTACAATAACATCAAATAGAGCTGGACATGGATGGTGGTAAGATTTAATTTATTATTTGTTATTATTATTGAATAATTTATATAAATATATAAGGTTTGCAAAAAATTCATCTGGACAAGTTGGTGTTATTCCAGAAAATTATGTTCAAGCTTTAGCTGATCCACCAGAACCTAATGAACCACCACCACCATTATCAACATTTTCAAATACAAATAATACATATTTAAATAAAGATATTTTTAATAGCAATAATAATTTATCAAAAACATCATCAATACCACCAAGTCATCCACCATCATATGATCCACCGCAATATATGAATCCAACATCATATAATAATTGGCAACCAATAGATTCCTCAACATGGCAATCATCATCACCATCACCAGTACAACCTCTGGTATGATATATATATATATATATTCATAGAGTCTTTCTATTAATTTGTCTATATTTTTTTTTTTGTAAAAATTCTTATTTCTTGCTATTTTTATAGCAAGTAAATGAAGAACACATAACTAATTCTATTCAATCTTTAAAATTTCCTACAGAAACAGAGGAAAAATTCGTCAATGCTAAACTTATAACAACTAATTCATATGATGAATATATTAAAGTCATAGATGTCATAAATGTATCATCAGAATTTAATTTTCTTCCAATTACAAATTCAAATTCAAATTCATTACTAAGAAATTCATGGAATGAACAACTAGATGATTTTTATGATTATCTACCAAATACTCCGGCGCCTCCTTTAATAAATACAAAACAATTATCTCCATTTTTTTTTCCAAATTTTCTAATATCCACACAACAACAAACGACAAAGTCAAATCAGTATTTAATTCCAGTATCCTCATCACCAACAGAGTCAATTTATGGTTCAATAGATGATATTCAACTATCATTAGTTTGTTCTACCAATAAACAGACCGGAACTCAGTCAATGTCTCAATTATCATCATCTATGTATAGTCTGTCTTCTACTGATACGAATCTAAAATCTACAACATTAGCATCTAAATTTACTTCAACTTTGCGATCAACGAAGAAAAAAAAGAGAAGAAAGAAAAATGTATTTAAAATTTTTACGTTATCACGAAAACATCAGAATAAAATGTCAATATATGAAAATAATAATGAGGTCAGCCATTGACGCATATAAATTCTAGCTCAATATCTCGATTAAATATAATAATTCGATCAAAACCATTGTAATATTCATCATATTTGTTATTGATTATTTTCATTTATTTTTTTTTTTGCTCCATTAATCTTATAAATATATATTTAATTTTTATTTTTATTTTTTTTATTTAGGCAACACGTACATCAACAAGAAGAGATACTGATTCTGATGATAGTTTTAGTGATTCTGAATATCCACCACAATCATCACAAACTATGAATTCAACTACAGTAAGAATTTGTTTTTGTATATGTATAGATTTTTTTTTCATATGAGAAAAATAGTAGAAATTAATAGCTTAATAAGTAAATTAATCATAATATTTCAGCTATCGAAACATTCATTTAAAGAAACAAAAACGGTCAGTTGAGAAAATGGATTATTTTTTCTTTTGTATTCTTATTCCTATCGTGTGTATCGATTGCATGCACTTTTGTGGTTTTGCTTTTATTGACAATCAATTATGATTATCTATATATAATAATCATAAATTATCTTTTTTAGTTAACACCAAATTCAACATTTTCAAATACAACTAGAACCTCAATGGCTAGTGGTGAAGCTAACAGAACTACACCACGAGCTCGGTAAATTATTTGATTTTTTTCTTTATATTAAGATTATAAATTCTTTATTTAGATTTTTTGATAAACATGGTTTAGATAATTATTTATTAAATGGATCTAAAGCAAAATCTGATGAACATGTTGAAATAAGTGTAAGAAAATGTTTTTTTTTGTTTGTTCTATGATCTTTTTTATGTATTATTAATTATAATTATATGTTGATTCTTTCTTCTAAAGTTTGATGAAACAGAAGGTGGTGTTCATTGGTCACATAATCCTGGTTTACCACCGTTTAGTTGTAAAGTTGAAGATCCATCAAAAGGAACAAAACTAGGAGGATTAAAAGCTTTTACAGAATATAAAATACATCCACAAGTAGAATTTTTTATTTTTAATTGAAAACAAACAAAATCATATTTGTTACTTTATTTAGATTCCAGGAAGTCGATATGTTTGTAGACGTTATAAACAATTTGATTGGTTACATGAACAACTTGTTAATAAATTTCGTTTTGTTTGTATACCACCATTACCTGGAAAACAGATAGCTGGTAATAAGAAAAAAATCATTTATCAAATTTTTTTGTTTTTTTATTGAAATAATTAAATTTATTTTGTTTTTTATTAGGACGATTCGAGCAAGAATTTGTTGAAGAACGTCGACGACAACTTGAATTATGGCTTAATCGTGTATGTCGTCATCCGGTACTTTGTGCTACATATGCTGTTCAACATTTTATTACATGTGAAACTAATGACAAGAATAGAAAAGTAATAAATATAAAAATTAATATATAGAATTTTGTATGTTGTTGTTTTGTTCTTTTTTTTTTCGTTTAGGATTGGAAAGGAGGAAAACGAAGAGTTGAAAAAGATGATTTACGTGAAGCATCATGGCTTTCATGTGTTACTTTAACAAATACAGGATTATCTGAATCAGAAATGTATTTATGTTTTTTTTTCTGTTACTATTAAATACTTATATAAAAAAAAAAAAACAACATATTTAGTGCATCACAAATTGAAACATTTGCCCAACAACAACCAGGTCTTGAGATACAATTAAAAAATCTCTATCAAGGTTTATCGAAATATCTTGAAAGATATACGGAGGTTTATGAACGTGATATTCAACGCATAAGTGAATTATTTTCGAGAGTACATCAAGCGGTTGTAGTAGATACTACTACACCTGGTACAATTTTTAAATTATACTTATTGATTTTTGTTTTGTTATTGAAAAATATTCTTTTCTTTTTCTTTTTCAGGTAATAAAGATCTTTCAAATTCAATATCGAAAATTAGTGGATCATATAGTGGAGTAGCTGATTTATACAAAACTAAAGTATGACTTCTAAGATTTACGAATATGTTGAATTCATAAGACTAGACTTTCAGTAGAAAAACTAATTGGAATTCTCTATAATAACGTTTAAGCGTACACATCCAAAATGAAGAGTCTTGAAGTCAGATACACCTTGACTCCCATGAAATAATGCTGAATTCATACCTGGACATTGAACAATTCACTTCGGGTATTGTGTGATAATCACAAAAAAAAGCCAAACTAAATACTTTACTATCATTGGATTTCTTCGGATCCAACAAGTTCTCGCTGTCGGATATCATTGAATCCTTTCAACGTAGTCCGACAATATTATTTTCCTTATTGAAAAAGAAAATGAGATAATTAAAGTAGATATCAACTTACCTGATTAGTTAGAAAATGCCAAGAGAATAATAAATTGAACAACACAATTTTTTTTTTGATTATTATAAAGTTTTGATTAACACGTATTTCGTATTAATTAAAAAAAACAAAGGACAAACTTAGATAACAAGAGAATTCATAAATTTATAAGAAAAATTTTTAATGTATAATTCATTTAGGCAAGTGAAGGTTTACGAGATTTTATTGAACGTATTCAAGAATATATTGGAATTCTTGCTTGTTTTCCATCAATATTAAATATTCAACGAGTAAATATTTACAAAAAAAAAAAAAAAAAAATAATAATTTTTTTTTTCTATAAATTAATCATGTTGATAAAAATAGAGTGCAACGGATTTTATAAAAACTGCTTCACAACGTGCACCACCAGATTTTTCCAATGCCATTCATCGTGGTCATGTACTGAATCATGTTGTATTAGCCGAAATAAATTTTTTTCAAAAAGAAAAAGTTGCTGATCTTAAAGTATATATGAAAACACTTGTCGATGAACAAATTCAATTTTATGAAAAAGTAAATCATTTAAATCTATCTATTCAATATCATTATCTTATTATTTATAGATATCTGCCGCATTACTTGATGCATCAATAACATTCAAATAAAGAAAAAAAAATAAAAAGAAACAACAAGAAATTCAATCACTAACTGATATGATTTATTATCTGCATGCTTTGTTTTTTTTCTTTCGTTCGATTTCAGCTTGTTTATTCATATATAATCGCTGGTGCTTCTATCTTGGTTTTTTTCTTTCCGGTCGTTCGGTTATATTTTTCATTTACATATAAACACTTTGTTGCATGATGAAATTCGTTCACACGGTAATTCATCATTATTTATTGTATGCATCAAATGTTATTTTTCTATATTTGTGAATATTTTATCCAGCGTTTCTTGTTTTATTCGTCTTTATTTGAATACGAAACAACATCTTTTGGCTTTTTTTTTTCTCATTCAAGAATATAGAGAAACAAAAACATTACTTTACAGTAATATTATGAATAACTATGGAATGAATGACTAGGTACAGCACAAAAAAAAAAATTTTTAATTTATTGCATTTCGAAAACCAGGTGAACGATCAAATGGTAGTATTGACGGAGGGTTTCGAGAATTTTTTAATGATGTTGACATTGTTGTTGTCGGAAATTGATCGAGAGAATCAGAACTACCCGGTGTTGTACTCATCATCATTGATGTTAACACATCATCGGAATCATCAATTTCCTGACGCTAAAAAATAAATACAATAGACATATTTGTTTCTTTCTTTCTGTTGTAAACTATAATCGATATAAAAGTCAAACGTGCGTGGACTGAAATTCTTAGTAGAAAATGTCTCATTTGCTTATTGAATTAAACTCTCTCTGCTCTTCAAAAATTTTTGTTTTGCTACAGTAGATTTTCAGTATTTTATTGTTATTTTTGCTTCCAAATTATCAAAAAAAATACGTTTTTTTCTTTCCACAAATCCAGTTAAACTCAGTAAAAATCTTCTGATTGATCAGATCTTGATCCAGAAATTTTTCGATTCGATAAACTTTATTCTTAAGTCATCGATCTTTCATCTCAATTCTGGTAACCTTGAGACATTTTAGCATGTATATGATATTTATTTGATGTTTAAATACTAAACACTTACATCATGATCATCAGAATCTTTATGAATATTTGATTCATCATTTTCATCTCGATAATCATTATAAATTGTTTGAATAAATATTAATGAACGTTTTAATACATAAGGATCAAATGGAAAATAAGAATAAAGAATATTTGATGGTAAATTTCCATTGAGATAATCATTTGTTGAAAATGTTTCAGGTAATGTATAACGATTATTTGTTTCAATAATTGAATAACAAAAAACAATTTGATAATTTCTAATTACAAAAAAAAATTTAAATAATCAAAATAAACAAGAAAATTATTATTCTACCTTGCTAATTGTGCAAAACGATGTGTAATAGCTGGTAAACTATATTTAAGTGGATTTAATTCTGACGATATAATACGACCAATTCTCCATCCTAACACAGTTTCAATCCCTATAACATAAAAGAAAAATGAAAACTTAAATAAAGAATCATGCTCATTGTATTTTTTGTATGTGTATACCATCAGGTAATCGAGCGATTTCTTGATGTCGATAAATAAATATATAAAGAACTGCTTGACAAATAGCATAAAATGGTAAATGACGATTTGGATTTGAGTTTCCACTGGTTGTTTCTGTTGTGCTGACATAAGCATGTAACCAATCGACCATTAATTGTGTTATATTTAAAACAGATCTAAATCATAATTCTGTATAAGATGCCAGCAATTTGAAAGATAGATATAAGGTTTTCACTATACAATGAGATACATGCAGGCTTGCAGAGAAAGATTTCCTCTATCTAATAGTATACGTAGTAGAACCTGATAAAATATACACTTAGTAGCTTAGCAAGGAATTTTTGAGGTGGGACACCTATTCATAGGTGTCATCAACTTAGACAACATCTGTGGGCGGACATATATTCCTTTGTGTAATCAGAAATCATCGAAAAACCTGTGGTCATCTTTCAGTAACATTTTTTTTTCACATAGTTAGACAGAATTCATCAAAATATTTATAAAAATGCTGTTTTTGACGATTGAGACGATACTTTCGTAGCGAAATTAGTGGTTGTTCTAGAATACTAGCGCCTATCTTTTTTCGGTTAGGCACTGGCGCTGTCGGTACGTGTGCTGTACGATCCAAGACACAAATTACTAATACAGTAGCTGGTAGCGAAACAAAAACCTAAATTCCCCTCTTGTTCTGGAACGGGTAATGGGAAGATCAGATACTTCATTAACACTGTGCGCTCTTAATAATGCGTCACACTCAGCAATGGCACTACTTTCCATTGTTCAACCAAAACAAGAGAGATTCTAATATTCTGGTTCTACTGCTAAGCGAAATTGAGAAAAGTTAGGTTAAAAAGAAGAATCAACAAATCCTATAAAAGTTGAAATACACTGAAAACATCCAGTCTCGATAACATCGATATTTATCTGAACTTTTATCTAGAGTTTATTCTTTATACAATTAGGCAAAAGGTTACGCATGCTTTTTGAAACATACTAGTTGATTATTGAGAAAATCAATTATTTCCGATATGATAGCAAAAAATCTATAAATATGGATTTATATTCGACAATTTTGATGATCAGAACTTCAGTTCTACATCAAAAGAATTTCATATTCATAATCAGCGTAAACATCTGCATCGATAGCATACTCAAAACTAATTTCTTTCAAATTTCGATTCTTACATATTCTCACTATTATGTTCGAATATTCTGACCTATACTTTCTCTAAGATCAGCATTTGAAAAAAATTAGTTTCAAGTATTGCGTATACTAATCAATGGAGATTTTTCTGCTGATTCTGAATATGATATACGTTTGATTTAAAACAAAAGTTTTTCCAAAAGCATACATAATTTTTTTGTTCTAACTGTACAACAAGTAAAATGAAACAGATAATTAAGACAAGACTTGATGCTTGTAGCGTATTTTAATTTCTATAGTTCTTTTTGATGTTTTTCAAACTTAAGTTTCTTAAGATTCACTCAGAAAAACATCGTTTGAATGTTTCAAATTATAAGTAAGTGGATGAGATCTACTCAACTATGACAAAGAAAATGTTGATCCATTGTCAAATCGATCGTACCTATAAATATAACATTATAAAAATTAATTATTTACCTGATAGATATATATTTTGCTCGAGCTATCAAACTACATAAATAACAAATCGATGCTTGTCGAAATGTCATAGAAACTGATGGTGATACAAATGTTTTCCAACAATTATTCATAAATTCATCGCTAAAATCCTATTTAAAAAAAAGACACAAGAAAATTCTTCTTATTTTTGTGAATAAACAACAAAGCATTCACTTACCGTATGAAAACTACAAATATAAAAGATTAGAAATTGTACATGTGATGAATCATGCGTAGGTAACAAAATTTTATTAAATATACTTAATAAATCACGAAATAAAGATTTTGTTTGTTCATAATTCACTGTTCCTAAATTATATTAATGATTTATATATATATATATATTAACGTATATATTAGTTTTTTATATTACCATTTTCAATACATATACTTATTATATATTCAAACATAACATACATAAGACAATCAAGTTTATCAGCTTGATCAAGTTTCATTCCTTTCGTATTATTATCATTTGTATCAAGTTGTTCAAGTGAAAAAACAAGTTCTGTTTCAATATTAGAATTTTCTACACGAATAATATCTTGTCGAGATGCATGAACCTTTGTAAAATAAATATTTATAAATTTTAAGACAAGTTTTTTTATTATAAGAAACTTACATCAAGACGAAGTAATTTTGAAAGAATTATTTCAAGAAAACGTGAACGTTGTATTGACAAATAAGATAATGATCGAAGTAAATTTTTTACATAGGTTATTTGAACATTAATTTCTTTTGTCATAAAAGGAAAATGTTGTTCAGCTATTGGACATAAAAGAGTTGAAGCTCTATTAGAAAGGAACAAATAAAACAATCAAGAAAATTTTTCACAATGGAAAAATCAACATACAACGGAACGATAAGAACAAGATGTTGTAGTGTTTCATGAGCAAAATCATGCAGTGGAAGACGATTTGTGGAAATTTCTAAAAAAAAAAGATACAAAGCAAATCTTACGTTCTTAAAATTGAAATAAAAACAGTCTGAAAATGATTCTTTCTAACTTCAAGTATTCATATGATTTGTGGATCATTTAGAAACTATCATGAATTTAAAATTAGAGTTTTGAACATCAAATCTATGATGAATCAAAAGCTTTTGCTGAGTGCAAATTACTCATTTATGTATCCTATTGTATACTCGAGTATTGATCAAATACCTAAACATCGAATACTTGTTGATATTTCATTAATTATTCTGTTGAAAAAATTTGAGTACAAAGTACTTATATCAAATGAATGTCTAAATAGAATTTTCAAGTGTTTATTGGCTCATAAAGTTTATAGCATATATTGTTTTCGAGTACTTTGAATTAATAAGAGAACTGTTGTAATTGTAAGATTACTTGTTCAATGAAAGTTTATGACGCCTGTTCTAATTCTTAATGATGCTGATGTCATATGTCATGAAGCTATTTATAACTTTGCTGGAGGTAGTTTTCTGAGCTAAATTTCTTTTTTTGAATCTATTCAAATAGTTGAATGCATCGGGTTTTTTATATTGTATTAATGAGAGAAGTTCTACAATTGATAAATTATCTTTCGAGTCGAGACTAAGTGTATTAGGTAAATCCAAATAAGCTAAAGACTCATTGAAAAGAGTCCGTACTCTGAGCTTATTACTACGAAGATACTGCACTTTTTCAATAGTTCTGCAAATAAATGCTGTGGCTCCTACTGCCTGTCAGGTTGTTCTCGGATCCGACGGCTTCTAATGACTTCTACAAGAAAACCAGACAACTGTATTCTCGAACTTCGACTTGAAATTTCGCATAGAGACAGATCTTAAAGTGAATAGTTTTGTTTTTTAAATGTTTTAGACCTTGTCATTGTTTCTATCCTAAGATACTATTATGGTAATAGTGTGTCTTTTATATCGTTCATACAAACCAGTAGCTTCGATGTTCTTATTTCAGAATAGAAACAGGTCATGAGACCTGAAATCACTCTCGTTAAGGTTTGTCTCTATAGAAGGTTTGAAGTTGAACTTCAAGTTTAAATTATTTTTCTGTTACCATGGCACTCAATTAAAAAGTATGTAAAAGTGCAACATCGTTGCAGCAATTAGCCAAGGGTACGAACTTTTGCAAGAATATTCATAGTTTATTAGGATCTACATAATGCATATAATCTTGACTCAAAGACGATCTATCAACTGCAGAATTTCTCTCGTAAGAGAAATCGTCATAATCAAATGATCATGAATAATAATCCTTCATCAGTGGTACTATGTTTTTATAAAAGTAGATTTCTTTTCTTATGTTTTTCAATAAATACTTCAAAAATGTAAAACTTCTATTTTTTTTACGATTTTCACAAAAATAAAAGCTTTAGCATAAGAAAAAGAATGATTCGTAAGTTAAAATGAATGGTTTTTAAAGACAATTTTATCTACCCGGAATTGTAAAAATAGTAAATAAAAAGCTTAAATAACGTTGTGCATGTTTAGTATTGCATGAGATAAGATTAATTTGAAACGCTCCGAATGTATCAAGTACAGTTTTTGATAATTTTATCCAATCGATTTGTAACTACAATAAATAAATAATATTTATTTATAAAAATTCAACAATTTATACAAATACAACTTGTAGAAAATCAAGAAATTGTTCATTTGTATTTTCAAATAAATCAACATTATCACGTAATTCGTCCAATAGATGAATAAACCATACGTCCTTTAAAAATTCGATAAAATATATTTACTAAAATAAAAATTATTTATTTACATTTGTTTGATTTTCTTTAATAGTTGTTGTTAATGTATTATACAAATATTTTTGACCCTAAATTGGGAATAAAAATTTTGTTCGTAATTCATAAAAATGAAACCTATTTATAGAACATACTCTGTTAAATTGATTAAGAGCTTCTTTAATTTGATCAATTGTGATTGTCTGCAGCATTATAATATGTTCTGTTTATTCTTGCATGCAGTTGTGAATAAATGTAAGAAGCTCATTTTCTTCTCTTTTTGTACTTAGTTTTCAATGACAAATTTCATTTGCTATTGATAGCTTCTAGAAATAGCCTATGCTTGTCAAAACATAGATGTCTCGCGTATAACGTCGCTAGACATGATTGAATTTAGTGAATTTCATAATTTTGTGAAACATATTAACATTATCTGTATCATAAAAAAAATATTCAAGATTTATTATATGAAGAAATTTGATTTTACTATAAACAGCTTATTCATTAAGCTCCTCCTCTTTCAAAGTTCGTTCGGTCCAAAATATTTAGACGCGCTTGAACCGTACTTTTATATTCTCAATGATATTTTCTTACTGAAATCGTATAGCTGCTCCGAAAGTACGAAATATTTTTTTCCGATTTTTTGGTATTCTAAGACTACTGCATCCAACGTACTTCTTAGACATCTCGAGTCCGTTAGGTCGAAAATTTTTGAATGCAGACTATCCTGACGGATTCTACTCGTCTCTCTCTCGAAAAAAAAAACTCAATTTTCGTCAGAAAAAATCGCAATGGAGATAAATTCACGTAAAGATAATACTCAGTGTAATCTTTCATTAACGACATGATTATTTTAGTTGCTACCTCTTTTTTTTTTGTTTTACCAAAATCTTTAATGATTTCCATCATTTGCTGCTTGAAACATATGTTGTTTAAAGAAAAAGAAGTAAATTTTTTTGTCCATCTATACTTTTCTGATCGCGCATCTCAGAACCCTTGAAAAAGTTTCATTGTAAGCAATTGCTGTTCATTGCTCTTTGAAAGAACATATGACCTCGTAATATCTGTTTTTTTTAATTAAGCATTTTTTTTATGATATATAAAAAGTATTTCTACCATAAGATGACTATTTTTCTACGTCTGGAACTTGTCATCGTTTTTTCTTCGTATAAAAAACAAGAGTTAAAAAAAACAAGCTCTGTCAGACGCTTCAGTTCGACATGTTCTTTCGAATGAAAAGAATAATAAATCTAGAGAATGACAGCCTACAAAGACTTTCACATAGCCAAATGAGCTATATTTGATCCGTATCTGTTAAATATTTCCTGAAGACACCATGACATAGAGCTGATAATTGTCACGTAGTTTCTTCACTACTGCTTGAACACATCCTGAAAATTTTATGCGATTTAAATGTAACTGACGCAAAACTAATTTTAAAGAGAGTTTAAATGATGTTGTATTATTTCTCTTCAATTAAGTAGCAGCAGATTTATTTTATTAATATTGAACATCTTTGTTCATTCAATTTAAGAATCTTTTGTTTTATTTGATGAAATAAGTTTGCAATCTATTGATTGAGAATATTTACAATTAAAACTACACTATCTTTATCTTTTGATAAATCCAAAGCTAACATCATAAAAATATCAATATACCATTTCTTATTCAAATATTTAATATTCTTAGTAAATATTACAATGATGTTTGCTACCTATTTCATCAAAGAACGACTGTAATTTTCATCGATTTCGATACATATTCTTTGACATTCTATAAAGATTTTTCCTGAAATGGAAATAGAAATACGTAAAAAAAAAAAAAGAGTTAAGTTCGAAAGTTTCTATGTCAATAGTTGCGCGTGAATATGACACTTCTGGAAAGGAAATGACTGTTAATGAGTCATGAAATAAACGAATTGGTTAGTATTGCTATCCAATAAAATGTTCGTTCTTGAGAAAGGTCTTTCAAATGACATCATCATGGGGCAATGCTTGCTTTTTTTTTCCTTTTTTGTCAATCATTTGATCATTCAAGGACAATCAACAGTCCGATGAAATTAAAATTCCAATCAACTGCGTGAATTACGTAGACGTAGACGATGAATGATTGATACACCTACTCTATTTTGACTCAGAGAATTGACATCATTAACCATTCATATAAAGACTATTTTATTAATCAAATAATATTGTATTTTTTTTTGTTTTTTTGTTGCTTTAGTATTTTCAATCATGGAATCAAATGGTGAAAGTGAGTCATGCCATCAAGCAAAACAAGATGAGAAAAAACATATATACATGAAAACACAAATTGAAGATTTATTCGATAAACTTTCAACAACAAGAGAATTAAACTCTACGTCAGTCAATACAGTTAATGTTGCTAATAAACATGATGAACTTATTCATTTTAATCCCGATGATGTTAACGGAAAAGATGTTGCAATGGAAAATTTAGAACATTGTGAAATATTCATGAAAGGTATTCCATCATCATTACATATAAAAAATCTTCATGGTTGTGTTATAATTGTTGGTCCTTGTTCAAGATCAGTTGATATTGATGAATGCCATCAATGTGAATTTGCTTTAGCTTGTCAACAATTACGTGTTCATACAAGCGATGAATGCGACTTCTACATTCATATAACAGCAAAACCAATTATTGAAGATTGCCATCGTTGTAGATTTGCTCCATACAATGTTGAATATCAATCAAAACAACATGATATTGCACAAAGTGGTCTTGTTTGGGCAGTAGATTATTGGGATGATGTTTTAGATTTCAATCATAAGACACCAGATGTGCATTCACCTAATTGGGAAACAATTGAAGAAGAAGAACGAAAAGGATGGTCACTAGATGTACCATCGTCATTTTCTTAGGGAACCGTTAGATATTTTGTTTTTCTTTTTTCTTTGTAATCATTGTTAATATATTATTTGTATACCAACTGAATATAAATTTCACTTTTGTTTTATATCATTTGTTTGTATTTAAGGAAACAAAGGGACATATTCAATCATAGGAAATTTAATAGGATGAGTATTTAGATGCAAAAACATGTTTATCAGTAGTACTATCATGCCACATTTTTTTCTATTCGTATTATATTTTACACGTTCTGTTCGTATGTGTTTAATCTATTACTAAGGCATAAATCGAAAAATTTTCTATGCATTTTTTTCTCGTATTTTCGCACGCTGACTATCTTCACCATATAGGACATGACAGAATGTTTGTAAAAAATCAGATTTGTGCCACAGATATTTTTCTAGAAGATAAGACATCGATGAGATTTATATGATTAATAGTTGAAGTTTTATTACAGTTTTTACAAAACAAAATTCTCATTAAGTATATACTTAAGATTTTTTAATCGTGGATCTATGCAAAACTTCAATCGTAAATCATTCAAATCTTGTCGACATTGTATCATCTAGAAAATGATTTGTTCTATAATTCTGCATCTTTACAAAAAAATTCTATACACTTTTGTTCTTTTTTTGTGTTCCTTTTTACTTCGATCAAAAAACAAACTGAATTTTCAGTTTTCTTATACACTTAATAATAATGATATTTTATTTGATTGTAAAAAAAAAAAGAGCCATTTCTCTAAATCTATTTTAATTTGAAATAAAATCTTATGTAACCAAAAGTTTGAATCATGTATATTTCAGATGCTTTTAGACAATCGATAAGTATATCATGAGTGATTTTAAATATTCTGCCGGTGATTATGATAAAGTGGCTATACTTGATGCTGGTTCACAATATGCTAAAGTAATCGATCGTCGTATACGTGAACTATTTATTTATTCAGAACTCGTACCATTACAAACATCAGTTAATGAATTACTATCATGTCAATATAAAGCGATTATTATTTCGGGTAGTCCAGGTTCAGTCAATGATCCTAATCCAGTTTATTATGATCCACAATTATTTGAATGTAATCTACCAATATTAGGTATTTGTTATGGATTACAAATGTTAAATAAACAACGTGGTGGTACTATTGTACGACAATCAGTACGAGAAGATGGTCAATTTCAAGTAGAACTTAATGTAACAGAATGTCCTCTATTTAAAGATATGAAACCATTAGAAAATGTTTTATTAACACATGGAGATAGTATTGGACAACTTGGAGAAAATTTAATAAGTATTGGTACAAGCGAATCGTTTATTGTTGCATGTGCGGATAAAGAAAAACCTATATATGGAGTTCAATTTCATCCGGAGGTAAACAAAATAAACTATTATAAATTTTTTTTTTATCAAGAAACATTATGTTTATTATAAAAGAAAACTTAATATGGTGATCACAAAGTAGTGATCGATATTTTTGCATTAGTATTGTTAATATTGATAAATGTTGAATTTACATCTAGATCTAGACAACTAAACATTATTTGACCTACCCGTGTAATGACTATTGAGAAACTGCTATTGAATTACCGCAGGTGTTTTTGAAAGTGTTATATCACGGTGTAGTGTATCGAAACGGGTTGAATATTTTTGAAATATGTTAAAACTGACGGAAGTAAGTTGCTCTAGATGACTCCGAATGAGGTCAATGCGTGTGAATTACCTGTACTAGCCATAGAGTTAAAATCGGCCTCAGTGATAAGATAAATTTTTATTATAGATGACGCTGCAAGACTTTTTATTTGTAAAATATATCTCGTAACTGTTTTCTTCTGAATTAATTTCAATTCTTTTTAATAAATACTTCGAATTCGAGTAGACAATATTCTCTATAATCGTTTGTAGATTGGAATCGATAGGGCATGAGCGCCACCACCGATACTCATGAGTAATGCGATATACGGGTGGTAATGAGAAACAACGCGTGACATAGGCTCCTCGTTATCATCACCCTGCTTCTACGCCATTTTTTTCTTACAATCAGCTGAAAATTATCAGCTGAAATGTACTTCATTTTAGCCTATTTTTATAGTCAATCGTTGAGTAATAACTTCAAAATGAAGAAAAAAAAAAGACTAGAATCAACAATTTATACTTACTTTTTGACGATCTTCATACCGTAATATAATTCAAATTAAAAATAAAATAAAATAATGTGTACTTACTGTTCGTTGAGTTGTATAGATTCCCTTCTCATTGTATATAGTTGTTTAGGAGCAGGAATGTTTGAGTGAAAGACAGCTTCACGTCGTCATAAAAACTATTACAAATATATTTTACATGTTGTCTAATAATTATAAAAAGCAAAAAGAAACACTTGAATATTAGTAGATTTTGTTGAAATCGACAAGTCTAAGTCTCTATTGTCGAATGAATCAAGGATTCTATCGGATCCGATAGGACGACTTCAACCTTCGATGGGTGACTAGACAATTCGTTTCAATACTTATTCAAGATACTTTTAACAATGATTATTTAAGATTTTATTAATTATTTTTCTTTTTCGTGACATAGGTTGATCTAACAGAGAATGGTTTACAAGTATTTAAAAATTTTCTCTTCGAAATCGCTCATTGTCGAGCTACATTTACAATGGGTTGCCGAATACAAGATGCTTTTAGCACCATTCGATCATTTGTTAAAGATCAACCAGTTTTTGTTTTATGTAGTGGTGGAGTTGATAGTTCTGTTTGTGCTGCTTTATTAACTCGTGCTTTACCATCTGAACAAGTAAAACTTGTTAGTATAGATAATGGATTTTTACGACATAATGAAAGTAATGAAATTCGTGAAACTTTATCTCAATTTGCAACTGTTAATTATATTGATGCTAGTCAACGTTTTTTTAAAGCAAAAACTTATGTTCGAGTAAAAACAACATTAGCACCAAACGAAATAACACCACGACGTCCATCAATATCAACAAATTTTTTAAGTTTATTTGATGCTGATATGTTACTTGAAGAAACTTTACCATTAAATGAAGAAGTTGATCCTGAACATAAACGTAAAATTATTGGTGATACATTTATTAAAGTTGTACAAGAATTTTTACGTAATAATAATTTTACATTTGATGATATTATCTTAGCACAAGGTACATTAAGACCGGATTTAATAGAAAGTGCATCTCATTTGGCATCTCAAGGTGGTCATGCTGATGCTATTAAAACACATCATAATGATTCACCAATGGTACGTGCATTACGTAAACTTAATCGTGTTATTGAACCATTAAAAGATTTTCATAAAGATGAAGTAAGACAAATTGGTTTAACATTAGGTCTTCATTCTGATGTTATTTATCGTCATCCATTTCCTGGACCAGGTCTAGCTATACGAATTTTATGCGTCGATGAACCATATATGCCTGTTGAATATTTTTCACAAACATCATCATTATTAAAAACAATAATTAATTATTCAACAATGGCTGAAAAACAAGATACTTTATTAGCAACATTAGATATGGTTTTTACTGCAAATGAAAAATTACTTTTGAAAACTCTTACATCATCTGATCAACATGATTATACATCCGTATTGTTACCAGTAAGTTTAGTTAAACGAGATCAAACATATGTGTTTTTTTTTCTTATTATAGATTCGCAGTGTTGGCGTACAAGGTGATGCTCGTACATATAGTTTTGCTGCAGCAATTAGTTCAAATGATGAAAAACCAAATTGGAATGAATTATTTATTCTTGCACGAATGATTACAAAGGCTTGTCATCATATTAATCGAGTTGTCTATATTCTTGTAATTATTCAAATCTACTTCTTTTCTTTTTTTTGTTCTCTCTCATGCATGCTTTTTAGGGTAAAAAAATTCTTGATTCGAAAATAACACAAGTTACACGCACAACATTAACATCAGATATTATTGATAAAGCTCGTTCTTGTGATTATCATGCTATGATGATTATGAAACAATATGGTGCTTATAATTCAATAAGTCAAATGCCAGTTGTATTAATACCAATTGAATTTGATAGAGAATATGCTAAAGAAATGAATGATAAAAGAGAAGAACAGATAATTTCAGATACAAATATTCAACCGATAATTTATAGTTGTCAACATTCAGTTGTTTTACGTACATTTCTTACTAAAGATTTCATGACTGGAAAATCAGCTGTACCTGGAGAAACATTTCCTCTTGATATGTTAAATGATATATATCAAACAATTAAAACTAATGTACCAGGTATAAGTCGAATATTATATGATTTAACATCAAAACCACCAGGTAAAAATGCAAAACAAAGAAAAGATTTTGTTTAATATAAATTTCTTTTTATAGCAACAACTGAATGGGAATGAAGATCTGCGTTTAATTACATATTTTTTTTTTATAGTTTGTATACACATAACAATGCATGTACCTTTTTTCTTTCTTTCCACTAAAGTAGTTAACTATTTTCTCTGCTGTATTTCTCAGAATACATAACTTGATATGTGTGTCAGTTTGAATATATTTAGACATTTAAACAATCATAATTTTATTCATGCATTATTTTTTTTTTTTTGAAATAATTAGTTTTTTAAATATTTTTTTTTTACTAACGTTGTGCACGTGTTTTTTTTTCTAGTTTAATAAAATAATAGACTGCACATAAAATAAAAGACAGATTATTTTTTTGTTTTTGACGAGATTATAATCATTATAGAATTTTTACATTAATAAGTGTTTTGTAATCATCCATCTGGTTTATATTTTGTTTGTTCTCATATAATTATAAATAAGTTTTTCACTGACAAGCATTTACAGCTTCATTTTAACATGACAATATCATTTTATGGATCTGTCATACAAATTACTCAATTAGTTATTTGTTTGACAGTATGTACTAGACAATAGAATGTACTTACATGCAAAGGACTATATCTATATATTATATGTTGATAATGATTGGATAGAATAGATTTTGTTATGATGTTATTTAGTAATAATATTTGTTAAAGCATACTTTTTTTGCTACTCATTATGTTTTACAATTACTATGGGTTTTACAAATAGATCCGATAGAATACAAATATTTTTATAAATGATTATCAATTGAATGTGTATCTACATTCCTACGTAACACTGATGTCAAATTGTTTAGCAGTATCATAGATTGTTATCAGGGGTATGGTCATTGGGATGGGGTACACACTCCCTACTAGAGTCTGTTTAGGTGGTTGTGAACCTAGTAGGATCCAAAAACTTTGGACTCAACGTGTTCTAGTCATCTGAGAAACGTGTAAATTACACTAGTTACCAAATACAAACAATTGGAAAAGTTTTTTGCATCTGCGAGGTAGCTATCTTATTCCGATTAGAAAATTTAATTGGAAGTAGCAAAATGCGGTCCGAAAATTCTGCATCCGACAGGGCTCTAGTCCCCACTTAAAAAATCTTAGTCAGTCAAAATCGTATTTTTCGATTAAAAAAAAGAGTTCCGCACTACTCTCTCTCCACTATAAATGATAACCATCGGTTGTTAGTGCTCAATGGATTACTAACAAAGATAAGAAAATAAAGCATTTGATTCAAGTTGTTTTCTTTTTGTAAGTAAACTTTCAAAGAATAAACATTAAACGACAGGTAAATTATGGACTCATCACACGTTTAAATAGATCTCTAAACATTATTCACAATTTTTTATTTATAGGAAGTATTTATCAATCTAATAAAAGAATATTAAAACATCATTATATACCTATTTTAAGATTAATCAATATTCATCAACAATAGATTAGTAACGTGGTTCAGCATGAGAGAAGTGCCCAACAAACAAATTTTTAAAGAAAGACCGCTATAAGCCGCAGTTCTGATCAAGTTCATTACGCCAGGTAAAACCTCCACTGATTACGATGTGCGCAACATCGAGTATACGCTTGACCGCTTTTGAAAACCGCAGTATTACTGTTTTTTTTCGTGGCGGACGAACTATGTGATCTTCTCATGATGGTGTATTCCATACTATCTATCATATTGATAGAACATGAATGAAAATCTTCTCTTCGTCTACAATCGCATCTATATTGTTTCCCATATCATACATGGAGTACATGACCTTTATGAGTTACTATTTTCACTAGTAAACAATGAAAGAATTTATATAAGTAAAACAATTATCGTTTTAATGTTTGTAACGCGGTGATGTCATTTTCGATAATTTACTTTTAACGCCATATTACATATGTCATGTTCAATTTCTTTGTGTTTATTTTAGTAGACCGGCATAGAATAAACTTTTATTTCCGTAAAGATGTGACATCTATATTACAAAAATTATCAGTTAAATATATGTGAATTTATAAATTTTATTGTTAATTTTAATCTAATTTTATTAAATCATGAATTTCTTATATTTTGTATATTTCCTCCAATGTAATTAATTCACTAATGTCGATTGATCGATTAAATGCACTACATTTACGTCTTGTCTACCTAATAATGTCGTTGTGTTTTTGATATATATATGGCTGTTTATTTACTTGTACCTTAAACGTACTAATGACATTTCTTTTTCAGTATCTATTAATAAAATAATTTTTTTCTCATTTAGTTTTTTTCTTGTAGATTCTCATTTATTTTATTAATTATCCCTTGTTAGTTGTTGTTGTTGCTATCGTATAACCCTCGATGGTTGATCTGTTCAGTTTACCTATACATTCTCCACTATACATTTTCTATCGTCGATGAACACATATAACCCTTTAAATACTCATTTATTAAATAAAATTATAACAGTAAATCAAAAACAACAATATCTTATTGTCGTTAATAAATTTAATTATAATCAATTACAGTCCAAATGGTGTTATCCCGTAAAACAAAATCAACTGGAATTCGACACGAATTAAATAATAGTACAAAGAAATCTAAGACGATAGCAACGAACAGTAAACAAAAACCACTACATTCAAAACGAAAAAAATTAACGAAAGTAATTAAAATTAAAAAGACAAAAAAGAAAATATTATATATATATATTGTTTATGTTTCTATTTATAGCGTGTGGATTTAAACGATCCATCAACAAATACAATAACTTTACGTCGTAGTCGACGTTTAACGAATAAGAAAAAACCATTATCTAATTTATCTTGTGAATCAACTTCGAATTTAATTCTTCCTACTTCTTCAAATTCAATTTCTATAACAAAAAATTATCCATTACGATCACGTTTACGACGAGCATCATTAACAAGTAATAATCAGATAACAACAACAACAACAAATCGTCGTTCACGAATATCAAAACAACAAGATTTATTATCAACATCATTATCATCGATGGGTCTTCGAAATGGTAAAATAGTTAATTTACGTTCAGTTATATCAGGTACAACATCTCAAACAAATGAAGAACTTACAACATCAAATCTTCCATTACTTTCATTCAATCCATTACCACGTCAACATCATCAAACAAATAATTCAACATTATCAACAACTTATTCATCAACGAATTCATATAATAATAATAACAATAATAATAATGATTTAAATTTGACAATATGTCAATATCATTATTCAAATATTACAAATCATCCATCATTAGATCCAAGTAAATATTTTCCTGTTCGACTTGATATACTTCTTGATCGACCACCTGTATCACGTGAAAAACAAATTGAATATGGATGGAATCATGATGATCGTTCAATGAATATATTTGTTAAACATAATGATCCATGTACTTTTCATCGACATGTAAATAAACATAATCTTATCTTTGGAAAATTTTATTTTTTATTTTATTTTTTGTCTTTTTAGCCTGTAGCACAAAGTACAGATGCTGTTCGTTGTAAAAAAGGCTTTACTAGTGGCATTCATGTATGGGAAATCGAATGGTAATAGAACTTTTATATATCAGCTATTTACGACAAATTAGGACTATAGTTGGTCGGATCTGGATCCAAAAGTTTTGGACTCGATGGAGTCTAAACAAGGCATACTGACCTTTCATTGGACTTTGATTCTTGACAAGAGTTATGTTTTTAAATAAGTTCTTTTAACATAGACAAGTAAATCCGAATATATAGATGTACAGGGTAAGCTTTTTTTTCATACTGTACGACTAGGAAAAGCTTAAAATGATGCGCACTTATGATCGTCTATCGAAGGGTAATGATCGTTTTGATGAGACTTTTACTAAGGACAAAGCATTTTGGAAATATCCAAAACAAAAAGTTTCTGGACTAAATTATGTTTTCGAGGTACGTTTGATAGTGCTGAAAATTTCAACGAAAACGAATATATCTTTGTCGAGATATTCTATTTCCAAGTAGTTTTGATTGCTGTATTCATAGATATTGAGTATCTCAAGAAAGACTCGTTCATTTTCGTTGAAATTCTCAGGACTATCTTACGACTATCAAATGTACATATAGACATCATTTCAGCCTAAAACTCTTTGTTTTGGATTTTTCGAAAATGCCTTGTCTTCAATAGGTATTTCATTGAAATGTCCATAACTCTTCAATAGTAGGGCACATGTCACGAATGGGTCTAAACTTTTCTTAGCCTCATCGAGATATGCTGATAGTCTTAATGCGATGTCGAATGACGTTCGACAGTTGAATCGGCTTTCTCGTGCGATAAGTTTTCTTACCTTCACCGTATTCTACCCTTAGAACATGTATCTAGTCAGACACAATCGAGAAAATAATCGATTAAAATATGGGCTTCTTACGCTTTCAAATGAAAAACCGGCGTTCGAAGACAATGATATTCACAAACTTGCTTTTACAAAGACAAAAATCGTTTTTTTCATTAGTAAAAGCGCACATTTTTACGCATCAAAACATGTTGAGATGGACTCTTATCTAACTCTTACCTAATGCTATCCTAATTTAAAGACTCTAAAAGAGATAAATAGCAGAAATAACATCACAGTAGAGATCTGCAATATAGGGTAACCGTGTGCTTGTCCATCCGAAAATTCTACGGCATGAGTCGCATCTATAGCGCAATTTCCAACAAGATCGTACTTGAAAAAAAAATGATTTTCTACATATGATTCCAAATGTCGAAACATAAATTTTCATCTTATCATTATTTTTGAGATTCTGTAGAAGAATTTAAATTCAACTATAATAAAATTCATTATCCTGAAACAAACATGTTTTAATTTTTCAAGGAAACGTTCTGAACAAATTATTTTACTTATCTATATATATATATACATATTTAGGAATACAAGACAACGTGGTACACATGCTGTAGTAGGTGTTGGAACAGTAAAAGCACCACTTCATTGTCCAGGTTATCAAGCACTTGTTGGAATGAATCAAGAATCATGGGGATGGGATTTAGGTCGAAATAAACTTTATCATAAAGGTGTGAATAGTGTTTATGCTTCAACACAGTATCCATCATCAACAGTAACATCATCTAGTTCTCTATTATCTCCGACAACTACAACATCAACATTAACTGATCCAGCTGATGCTATTAACAATAATGGTATATCATATCCATCGAAATCTGATGAATGTTTTGTAGTACCCGATAAATTTTTTGTTGTTCTCGATCTTGAAGAAGGAACATTAGCTTATATTGTTGATGGACAATATTTAGGTGTAGCATTTAATGACCTTAAAGATAAGGGTGCACTTTATCCAATGGTTTCATCAGTATGGGGACATTGTGAAATAACAATGCGTTATATTAATGGATTAGAACGTAAGTGAATAATAGAAAAATTCTATTTCAAAAAATCGAAAATCTTTTATTCTAGCTGAACCACTTCAATTAATGGATTCATGTCGACGTGTTATACGTAAAAGATTAGGTCGAACGAATCTACATTTAATTAATTATTTGACATTACCTACTTCATTACGTAATTATCTGGTCTATCAATAGAACATTATTATTATTTTTTTCTTGTTTGATTTTCTATTTAATTGTACAAGAGAGATAAAGATGATTTAGGAAGAAATCAATAATTTTTTTTCGGTTGTTTGATTCGTTCTCTTTTCTATGCGTGTTTTGTTTTGTTCCCTTTTTTTTTCTCTTTGAGATTGAAACAAATCATACAGAAGTTTCACACACCTTTTTTTTTGTTGCTGTTGTCTCACTACAGTTGTTTTTTCTTTTTCATTTTGCTCTCTTTCTCTATTATGATTATGATTATGATTATTATATTATATACATATATTACTTAAACAGTGCTCTGTATCATAGAGATAGATTTTCTTCTGTTTTTTTTTCTTTGTTTATTCTCTCATTTCAACCCCACACGCCAAAATCAGAAAACATTAAAAAAAGCATGATTACACTAAAATAAATAATATAACATCTTTTTTTCTTTATATATGCGTGTTCTTTGATGTTTGATGTTTATTATATATGTCTGTGTGGCGAATTTTTTTTTCTTTATCTTCTTTTTTTTTCCTGCTATGCTGTAAAAGAGTGAGCTGTGAATTATGCCATTTGTATATACATTAAAAAGAAAAAAAAAAGACATTCAAACATAATTTATTGATATGGGTATAGTTATACTTGCAGATTTTGTTTTAGTCTTTGTCTTTTTCTATGCTAAATATGGAAACAAATACATTTTACAATCCGACAAAGCAAGATTTAGAGACAAAATTCATCGTTCGATTGTATTTTATTGCCTTTTTTTTTTGTTTAATAGAAGACGTTTACCACTTGCTAATATTGATGATAGTATGACAAAAAAACGTCCGAATTATAATCGTCCGTCATTAATAAAAATGGCACAAGCAACAAGGACATTTTGGACTCAAGCTGAAGCACTTGAATTTATTAATGAACGACAAAAAAATGAAAATAATATTTATACAGGAAATAGAAATTAAAAATGTTTATTTGATGTTATTTTATTTTGATTTTTGTTAGGGTGAAATTTTATATTTATTCAGTTTTGAATCACAACCGGATGGACGACGACGATATCAAGTTGCAGATATTGATGTTTTTATTCATGAATACTAGTAAGTGTTATTTTATTTTCATTATGATTATTTGAATTAATGATTTAGTCAATTACCGACTAATCAACGTCATACGTACGAAATTATTATCGATAGTAAAAAAAAATCTAGACTAAGGATTGTAAATATAATTTCGTTTTCTAGAAAAACCATCCAAACTTTATTTTGATCTTGAGTATGATATTGCTGCTAATCCGAATATTGGTGGGCCAAAATTAACAACTAATTTCATCCAGGTGTGAATATATATATATATATCATTCGTTACATATATTACTAATAGAAAAATGACATATAAGCTCTTTACAGTTCGTACTCAATTTCATGCGAAAACGGAGTGATGATTTGAATTATTCAATGAAAGATGTACTTATTCTTGATTCAACGTAAGTAATAAATAATCTAGAATGTTAATCAAAGAAAAAATTTATGTATATGATAGATCTTCAACAAAATTTAGTCGTCATTTAATTTTTCAAACAAAAGATCCATTCTTAGATAATCTTGCTGTTGGTAAATTTGTCAATCTAATCTTAGAAGATATTCACGGTTGTTTAATCAATCATCAATGTTCAGCAGTTCATAGTATTTCATCATGTCAAAGTCAACAAACACAATCATATTCAGATTCATCAGTTTTTGCTAAAAATCTTCTTCTTACAATTGAACCATATTTATGTCGATTTGAACAATGTAAATGTATTGATGATTATTCACAACTTCGTTTTAAAGATATTATTGAATTTATTGTAAAAAAAAGTGATACTACTGGATTAACATGGTTTTGTGATATGAGTAATACTACATTTAAATTTTATATAATTATAGAAAAAATAAAATGTTTTGGTTTCTTAGGTGTTTATACAAAAAATCGTGCATTTCGATTACTACGTTCAAGTAAATTTGATAAACAAGAATGTTTTACTGTTGCACCTGAAAATGAATGGAAACCATCGGCACGACGTTCTCATCAATATTTATCAACTGAACCAAATGAAGAAGCTGAACGTCAAACATTTATGGCTTCATTAGTTTATTTCAATAAGTAAATAGAATACATTTTTCTTGTCTATAATAAAGATATTAGCAAAATCCTTGCAAGATTAAAATGTGATATACGATATAACTGCTATTACTAATCACAGGAAGTTTGTCTATTTTAGGACATTTTTCTTTATAAACCTTTTACTTAACCCTCCAGATATACAATAAAGAAGTAATTCGTATGTTAAAATAAGATGATATTGACACAAAAGGACTTTGATTGTATATCATCAACGCCTATGAGAGGAATAGGTCCACATATTTACTTCTATACGTCAATACTTCTTCTAGATCTTGTTTTATAAAATAATTTACTTTTAGACCTATTCGACGTTTTATTCATGTTGATGATGTGAATACCGCTAGTGGAAAATCTATTAGTTCACGTTCTCATCAATCATCATATGTATCAGAAGATCTACAAAAAATGTCATTAGATTATCCTGAACTTGTTAATTTTATGATGAATATAGCACGAGATAAAAAAGATGATGGTAATGGTATTCGTATAAGTCGTTTATACAAAGCAAAAGAAGTTCAAAATGATTTTCGATGGGAAATTGGTTTTATGTATGTAGGTGATTATAAGTATTGTGAACGAATTCAACGTCATCATAAAAATAATAATATCTAGTAAATGAAGCTTTTCTTTTTGTTAATTGAACTTATAAAAAATTTCAATTTATTATATTTAGTTTCGTTGTTGATATGCGTAAAGGAACATACCGACAAAAATGTCATGATCCAGATTGCAAAGCATTTCAAGGTATTGAACAAACATTACCAATAAATGCAACACCTTGGTTAACAGTAGTCAATCAAGAATGGGATAATCATAGTCCAAGATCAATGAAAGAAACACTCTAATGAAACAATCAAAGAAGAAAACACGATAAATTTATGATTATTTCTTTTATAATGTATAGTTGATATTGTATAGTATTTGTTTATTGATTATATATATTTTTTTTTTCAACATGACAAAGCTCACCGAAATGGAACTTACAGATTGTGTTTAATATATTCTAGATGTTATAAAAGTAATAAAATGCGATTTTCACTTATATTAAGAAGTTTAAAGAATGTTACGGAAGGTAAGACTTGAAATGAATGTGTTAAGTGTTCGAAAGGAATAACATTGAAAAACAAAGTCTCGAAAATTCGTAAAATAACCCATAACACGAAATTAATGCTAAAAATTATCTTCTTTCATGGGAACAGTTCAAATAAGACTGATAAATCTTTTTCTATTGTATACTTCATCGTTCTATTGATTAATTTTTGCATATAGAGAATACGAGTGTGAGCCATCAATTCATCCAAACACTTATTATCAAAATTTCAAAATACAGAAATTGATTTGAAAGAATATTTTCAAATTTTATTATCACTTGTGGCAAAAGATATGAATAGCATAAAAAGATTCTCAAATCAAGATTATTTTTGTTTTTCTTATGATCCTTATCAATTTTTGTGATTTTGCATGTTCGAACAGTCAACACTAATGTAGTTTAAATAAAATGCATCATTTTTTTGATTGGTTTTTTTTAGAGAGGATACCAAAACAAAAACCTTATTGGTTAACAAAATCAAATTTAGATATTCCTGGTAAATCTCGTGCTATTGTTGATGTTATTCAATCATATAAAGCTCGTGTTAATGAACCGGGTTTTTTAAAAAGAACAATTTTAATGCGTAATTATCAAAAACGAAATGAGTACGTCAATCATTTTTCAACTATTTAGTGATTTTGTTAAATATGATTAAAATATAGATTTTCAGAAAAAGATTTTTTTGAACAAGGACCCGATGTTTATGGAGCATCTCGAACAATAGAATATGATGGTAGATTTCGTATGAGTGGTCGTCAAAAATGGATAACTAAATTAGAAAAACCCAAGGGTACATTAGCATTGAATTTAAATTTTCAATTAGAAGCTGTTGATCTGTCACAATCAGTTATTAATATTGACGGATTAGATCATTACGGTAGGTAAATATCGAGGTATGATTGTTATTTATTATAACATAGTTACATAGATTTGTTCATTTATTTAATTTAGTTGGTTGTGCAAATATTAAAGCAATGTATTTGGCTAAGTGTCATCATGTCGATGATTGGTTTCTCTCTAGACTTGCTTATGAATTTCAAGATCAATTATTATTTCTTGATATAAGTGAATGTCCATTAGTTGGTGTTACGGGAATACTTGCACTTAGTCGTCTGAAGTATGTATTTGCCTTTTTTATTTTTTATTTATTTAAATTAAGATTGATTTTTTTTCATTTAGATCATTAAAAAAACTTCGTCTTTTCAATCTGCCACCTTTCGATGGTAAAGAAGCAGCAACGATGATCTTTGAAGAAAATGTACCTGGATGTTTAGTTGAAGGTGTTGATTATGAAAGTGCAGTAGTTGCAGGACTTCTAACAGCAGGTGATACACAACAACAACAAGATGAAGTAAAACTGATCGATGAAGAAAAGAGTGGCCAAGAACATGTCGATGATAATAGACAGCAGTCTATTCGTCAGAACTAGAATTTAATTTTTCTTTTCTATATATTCTAGGTCAATATTCAGTTTTTTTACTGTATTTAAAATTCGGTTAAAAAAAGGAATAAAAACAATCATATCGTTTTGTGTTCAGTAGATTATATTTTCACAAATGAAGTTTTTGTTTATTAGCAAATATGCATAATTTCGTTTCTATAGATCGATGACTTTTTTATGTATAATTGAAGATGACGATGATTTGGAGTAGAGTTCTCAATAGATTGAGCTAGGTAGAAGAACGCCAGTCCATGAGCCATTCAGTTGATTGCATTAAATAAATTTTTAACATATGAATGAGCAAACATGTTTGACAGTTTATAAAATCTTCAATTCTGAGTTTTTTGTTGAAAAACTAAAAACTGTTCAACAGAATGATATGTTTTGTTTTTTTAACTTTTAATAACAACACATGTCGATGGTTTGTTGTTTCAAAATAAACTTGATCCTTTCGGATGAATACTATTTTGTAGATGATAGTGAAATAGAAGATTTAAATGGAAGTTTCGAAAAAATAATTCAGTGGAAATATGCAATAACTTTTGAAAACTTTACATATTGTTCAAGATTTGATCCATGGGTTGGACTGAATCGTATTCGATTTAGTCCAAAGAGACCTCAGATCTAGGGCAAGTAATGCAGGAATATATGGTCGATAATCATAACTACAAATGACCAATCTTGTGACTCATTCTCATGATTTCCTTCTCGCTATATGTAGTTCGTAAGGATAGCTAATTGAGAGACAGTCATGCGGAATTTTGAATGGGAGATATCTATTTTATACGTGAATAATACAGCTGATAAGTGGTCGTCATCATCATCATAGGCGTGTCGTCTTAAGATTAATACTGAACGAATAATGATATTCGACACTGCTGGCGAAATATAGAAGCGCCGGTTTGTTAATATTTCAATTAATGTTATCTGATCGAACGATTGTGGGAGATCGTTGATGATGAATAGAGCACCACGTTAAACCGTATTCAGGCTGCTCAATACACATTACTCAAGCAATATGATAACAAATGCATTTATGAATCTGCATGCTAAAGCTTCCGGTTTCTATCTATCATATAATAAGACTTTCATAATAGCATTCTATATATTTCGTGTTTCTAAAATAAAGTGAAATCAACAACATGCAGAGAGTAACAAAGATTATAGACATATATATATAACGCATAAGGAATAAACAGTTATCAGTGAAAATTGCTGTTGAACTCGGTGGAATAATATCCGACATAAGTAAACTAGATATGACAATAGAAAACAGCGTGAAAATCTCTGTAAATCTTTAATATTTAAAAATGAGATTTCAACTTATGCAATCTTAATTTTTTTCGATTATCTGGTACTAAACAAAATCCTAGTATTGTTATACAACTTATGAGAGAACAAGACACTATAAAATAAAAAACATAATACTTATTGGAAATTGAGAACAATTCTATCAGTATGTCTCATTACATAAAAACAACATTTGTAATATAGTGAGTAAATGTTGACAGATTCGAATGGTAAAAAAGATGAATAAATATGATATTGTGGAACAATCGTATTTAAGAGCACTATTGATAAATGATAAACTGAAAGCAAAATAAACAAGATGAAGTGCAAGAAATCGTACAATCTATCTTCTAAATCCCATTCAGAATTTTTAATACATCCATTTAATTATATCTTTATTCCTTTCTATTGTCAAATATATGTCTGCAAGGATACAATCATATATTAAACTAATCGTTATTTTATCATTTCATCTAACTTCTTGAAATAAGGAAGAATGAATGTATATCGACTCTCGGCTTAACTTTCACTTCAAATATAAAATAAATATTTTCAAGTTCCAGTCCTATTACTAAATATCACGACAAATTTCAACTGTTTTATTTTATCTTCCATAGTTTGGTCCATCGTACTTCTGCAGGCTATCCTTCCATTCATACTATTATAAAACAAAGCATTATTTATTCTTTAACATATTAGATACATCATGTAATCATGATTCATACTTCAATGTACAACTTTGTGTATCCTAAAAGAAATAGACATTCACGACAAAAATTAGAAATCAATGAGAACTTGTTCGATATCAAGAATTACTTAGAAATGGAAATGATGCAATATGCAATAGAATGATAGATAAGAATACTTCTAGTATGTTATACAACTGCATTAACTTTCATCAGTCTGTCAAGTTTTCCATCAGCACTTTGTAATAAAAAAATTCATATGTTGAAAAGAATATTTGTTTAAACCTATCTAGTATACAAAAAAAAAAACATTCAGTGTTAAAAATTTTGTGCTTGGAACTCATTTTATTTTTAAACTCTTCTGACTTTCTTGTCAAATTGTAATTATGTCATATCTTTGCGTATACCATGCAGAAAAGATATTAGTTTTGTCTGATGTTAACTATAGTAGAATGATCCAACCATTAATAACAATAATTAAGTTCTTTTCATCCTATTCATGTTTACCAAGTAAATAAACATAAAATAATTACTTATTTTGACATTACTGACGAAATTAATGATTTCTTGAAGATCCCATTGGATGCAAGTGAGAAATGTTATATTCTTCAAGTATATTATATTCTAAAATATCTATCAAAGCTCGACTCGGGTCGAGTCACGAAAAAAATTTTAGCATCTCGTCTCGGATCTTCAGTTAGCAGAGCAAGAGTTTATGTGTCACACATTTCTATCTTCGACTTCACCGACTTTTCTTTATTGATATCGGACAATGATATATATTGAATGCACTATTTATCTATGATGTTTACGTTTCAGGGACGAACAACGACCTAGACCAATGTTTTTCTTTTATAAAAACATAATAACAAAGTTATAAAAGAAAAACATTTTCTTTCGAGGAACATAGCAAAACTCTCTTCAGCGATGTATTCTTAACAAGTGAAAAAATAGAATACTAACACCTGTTCTAATGAAACAATAAATTTTATGAATCGAAGAATGAAATGCAATCAAGAAAGACAATCATTTTCCACTCAACTGCTCGAATAATATTACTTCAGTCATCTCATATTTACAAACAAATTATAATTCTTGGCCTTCGAATAACATTCGAATTACGGATAGGTGAAAATCATACAAAAACTTAAAACATTAGAATAGAAAATACGTATCGACTGTATAAGGCGAGTATTCATAATTAAAATAAAATCAATAAACGAAAGTAACAATGATCGTTTTTATTCTTTCATATAAAAATTATTTGCAAAATTTAAGAATTGAATATATGCAAGCAACAATAGTAGTCTTCTGTTTAGAAGTATTCTTTTTGAAATTATTCATTCTTAATTACAAAGAAATGAATCAGAATAATAAGGAGGATTGTTAATTTATCTTTACTTTATATAATAAAGATGAATAAAAAAGTAAAGAAAGATTTCTTTTTTTTTTGTTACGTTAAGAGACAAATAGTTGACATAACAATAAGATATTTTAATTACCTTTTCTTCGTCAATGGCATCCATAGGTACCTTTCTTTTTATTTTGTTTTCTCGAACTATAAGACATATCGAAACTAATTGTATCCTAAATTAAGTTGCATCTATTGCACATTTTATAACAATAATCCGAACATAATATTCTTCATAAAACTTTTATTCTGCTATTCAGACAAATATACTATGTTATGGCATGTGCTAAACTCATGCTTTAAGAGAATGATAACATGTGATTGATCTAACAGAGCTATATTGAGCTTTTTCTTTATTTTCCAGACGGTCACCAATATTAATGTGAATGAACTAGGAAAAATAACAAAAATAATTGAAAATAAACATGAACGGGAGCAGAACATGTCATAAGAATATCATAAGAAGCCAGCGTTTCGAAAATAACTAAAGGTAAAAAAAGGGGATAGATATAGATTTGTCGTACTTGTCGTCTGTGCGGCATAATAGAAACCAAGACTGAAAGGAAAAACTATTCAATTTAAGTGAATCATTCTATAAAAGAGAGAAAGGAATATACTTGTTGCAGTGTAGTGTCTAAATGATGAAATTTAAACTTTTCATATGCATACTAGGGAATATTGTGATCATGATGCTGGACGAATTTCAGTTCCAGACCTTAAACTTTAGTCATGAGAAAGAAAGGATTAATTTATCTGTATTTTATTTATATATATTCTTTAGAATAAAGAATATTAGAAATAAATCAACACTTCTAATGATAAATAAAAAGAACGTATTATAAATATATTCACATATTCAATAAATTATCTCTTTTTTTTTGCAAAAACTTCTTTTGACATTGATGGTTAATTTTCATGTAATACTAATTCAAATATTACTCAACAATGACTCATTGAACTATGAGTTTTATTTTGATATTAAATGTTTCTGATTTTAAAAGTTTATTTTATCAAAAATAAGAATATATAAAAAAGTATACCATTTTTTTTCTCTCTGTTTCAACAATATGTTTCATTTGTTGAGTTTTTTTTTGTTTTTTTTTGAAAAGACAATGTGTCTGGATGACTGTCACACTTCATACAAACGGAAATTAATTCTTTTTTTCCTCTAGATGAAAACAGATGTTAAACCACTCCTATCACTTTCTTGTTTCTTCTCAATAGGACGTGCGTGACTGTACTATGCTAAATAAGTGAAACGAGACGGAGACATTACTTACATATGCAGCTGTAGGCTGAATTAATCATCTATAATATAGGCTTCGTTTCTTTTTCTTTTTTTTTTAGTCACACGCTACCAATCTGAATCATATGTTTACCTCACAAGAAAGTATATTTTTCTCCAAAAAAAAACTAAATCATACGTTAAAAGATTTGTTGGTATGCATATAAATGGAACAAACTAGAAAACAATACATGTGAAAAATGTTTGACAAGATTTTAATAAAAGCCGGGATATACAGAAAAAACCAATATTGATTGTATTAGTTAAAAAAAAAAGAAGACGAAGAAGAAATCGATTTAAGAACGTTCTCTATATTGACGTAAAAATTCATTTAATACTGTATGATTCGAATAAAATTCTCGTATATCTTGTCCATTTAATTGAAGATTAATATTTGTTTTTTTTGTTTGTTCAATAAGTAAAGTTTCGATTGATTTAAGTGTACGATTCATTTCTTCAAGTAATGCACGAATCTCAGTTGGTTTTAAATTATCATTATTTGTTAAACGAGTTAGCTTAACATCAGTTATTTTTCCATGAAATAATATGTAGGCTATAAGAATAATTAATAAAATAAAAAGACCTAGAGCAAATATTTTATCAGCTGTTATAAAGGATACAGGAGATGAACGACGAGTTTTCGTTGAAATTCTTTCTTCATCAAGTAGTGTTCGACGACTTTCAACTGGTTCTACTGGTGTTTGAATAGCAACAATACCATCTTTAGCTGCTACTGTTGTTCGTGCTGTTGTTGTTGTTGCTGTTGTTGGATTTACAAAAGGAGGTACTGGTTGTTCGACAAATTGATTATCATTACCCATATTCGACTAAATCTAAATGTATTACATTGAAATAATCATTGGTGTTTTTCTATGGCTATGTTATTCTATTACGCATATAGATTGACGAGAAGAAAATTTTCCTATTGGTTATTACTATTTTTTTTTCTCCTTCTCTCTCTAGCATCAGACATTTCTTTTTTCTCAGAAAGGATAACAAAACGAAGAAGCAAAAAGAAAATGCTGCCGAGTTTTTCTTCTACTCAATTGTGTCACGTCTTCTTACTCAGTACTAGATCTGAAATGACTAATCGGCGTATATAAACGATAAAAAAGAAAAAAAAAGAAATGATGCTCATACTAAGATAGACGTATCAAAGTTAATCGAATAGTTGATCCTTATATGCACCTTCACTATTCATGTTTACTCGTCTTGACAGTGATGAATGATATGTCGTCGTCGTCTAACTCATACAAAAAAACTTAACCTTCGCAGCTTTTTTCTTCTTCATCTGCTGTATTGATCTACAATGTGTTGGACGTATGGATTCAAATATTTGATTTAGAGCGTTAGTATGTACACGTACACTTCAATTAAATTGTCGAGAAACGTGATGATGTTAGGCTCTATGATCGAACAAAGGTAGTGTATAAATGTATGTAAGAATTATTTGTTTTCTCTCTTTTCGATGTTTCGCCTCATTGATCATGTATATATATATGTAGAAAAGTAAAAAAAAAGCCTTGCTTCAATGATTAATAGATGTATCATATTATATATACAGAACAACTGATGTTGTTGGTCAAGTGTTGAAGTATACATATGGTGTGCAAAAAAAAACGATAAGCTTGAACTCAATATTGTTTAATTAGTAGATAATGATGTTGATGAATATAGTCTGATGCCATTTCATTTTTCTTTTGTTTTGTTACACGCTGTCTATATCTTGAGGATAGAAGCCTGGATAGGCATAAACTTGCTTACATTAGAAAAATAGTTTAATTTGAAGAATAATACATAAAAAAAAAAAGAAAAAAATTCTTTTCCTCATTCTGATTAGAGCTTGAGGCTTTATATACGAATAGACAATGCTAGTATGACCACAACAAAAGGAAATTGATTTTTTTTTCATCTAATTTAAATACTCCATGTGTCTTACTTTCTCATCATTTCACATCAAGTCGAGTGGATGAACACTTAGCAACCAGTTGTTCATTACTTGTTGACATCGACTAGTCCAGCTGATGTACTTTCTCCATTTACACCTTTTTGGTTGACAGATTCTCTCTCTCTCTCTTTTGTTATAGTTGTTGCGATTGCTTTAGTGCATATCACAAAGATTTCTTCTATGGATAAGACAGTACAGTTGTGATTGATTAGAATCTGTAGGCAATGAATGAATACCCCTTCGGGCGTAAGCACATCTTCCTCTTCTTCTTCTTCTTCTTGTTTGACGTGTATGTATGCATATTTATTTTGAGGTGGTCAATGGTTAATTGCAATCAGGCAGTACACTTGCAACACATGTGCTATTCATTTTTTTTTTTGTTAAGATTTGTTTGATCTTTACGACTCACGCATATACAACAGCGGCAGAATCGACAATTTATTTCCGATTATTAGTCTCGTCGTTGTTGCTTGTGTTTGTTGTCCCGTTGCGGACAAGTAAAATAATCAATGATCTGTTGCAATCTTTTTCTCTTGTGTTTAGTTGAAACACATGGGAGAAAAAAAAAGGCGACTGTCCAAACTTAATCACATCAGACGAAGAAAAAAAAAGAGAACACTTGCCATATGATAGAGATAGAGATAAGAAAAGCTCATCAATCAATAGTGATATTGTTTTTTAGTCACATTTATACTCATCAATGTTACTTGATGATATATCTAGTTTCATTTATATATGAAAGATGTCATTGTTCATTGAACTTTAAGAAAATTTGATCTATATTTATATATTCAAAATAGATAAGATTGTTGTTGACTAATTTTTAATATGAAAAGAAATATGTACCACATTAGAAGAAAACTATTATTCATCGATTTTACAAATAATAGATAATTAATAATGCAAAGTTTTCTTTCAATTAATGTAATATTTGAAAAAAATAAAACAGTACAATAGAATATATATTCAATTGCTAAAATGTCTTGATAGAATCTATTTTCGTTATTGACCTTTGCCGATGAATGAAGACTGCTACTAATTTACTCATTTGATTTTTCTAATCTCATCATTCACCATTTAGGTACAATATAGTGAATAAACTATATAGGATCAAATGAATATAATTGATCATTAAAATCTTTTCTATATTTTTATTGATTTTCATCGTGTCAAATATGATGTGCAAGTACTAATTGAACAGATATTCAAGTGAAACTATAGATATACGTGTCGTTCAATGGATTACAACTATGAAATTGTTTAATATTGTTACTACTATCGAACAGAAATTCGATTTTTTTTCCAAATAATAAATCTATCAATTCATCAGTATTAACTACAACAGCGGTTTTAAAAAAATGATAGTCTATATACAATGAGTTTCTTTCGTTTCAAATATATTCTTATTCATTTATCGAAACATCTACATATCCATCTAATCATCAGAAATATATACGTGTCTTTAATATTAAAAACATTTCGTCTAATATAAACTTCTTCGGATGATAAACAACTTGTGAGTGATAGTTACGAGACATATTAAAACTTTCTTTCCACTCGATAGCAGAAACGACTTATGGCATTTTGTTTTTTCGGGTTTATCATTGCCAAGAATATGTCTTATTACTGATAATTCAATCAAAACTAATAGTAATAAACATTTATAAAACACATCTTTCCAAACCAAGTTCATATTCATCTGCATTTATAGCTAATTTTTTTTGTATGAGATGGTATTGGCAACTTAAAAAAATAATATAGAAATCACCATTATCTCTGATCTTCTTATCATTAAGCGTTAACAAAATTTCTGAAATTGCTATATAATCATGACAGATATATTGCTCAACATTTGAACACTAATTATAGTGAAAGTAAAATTTATCAATGGTTGAACAAGAATACAAATGAATATGCCATTATTTGTACCATTCGATCGGTATTACAGCAATGAGACCATGATGTAGTTATTTTTATTCATGCCACTGTTTCTTTAAGTATTATTTATCGAACACCAATTATGAACATAATAGATTCAATGCTAAACTAAAAGTTTTATTGCATTTTTGTGATCATTATAAGTTTTTTATATTTACAGTGTTTAGAAACATATTGAGAGATAGATAACGAGAAAATAAGAAAGGTATTTCAATAGTTAAAATGGATTTCTACTTTTCAGGTAAATGATACACTTTCAATTTTCTTCACTCAATAAAATGCTCTAATGAAACAAGTATGCTATATACAAACTTGTAAAATATTATTACGAAGTTGATATTATTCAATGGACTAATAAATGTTTTTAAGTAAAAAGGTCTAATCAATACTATAAACGAAAGTAATGTTTCCAACGCTCTTGCAAAAAAAAAATATTTATTATTTTATTTTTCTAATAAATTTAAAGGTGGATCACACTAATTCGTACAAAAAATTGCACTTTCAAACACAGGAAAGACAAGTAGAATAATATGATACTTATTCTTTGGATTAATTTACGTGAAAAATTTTCGATTTATTATATTTTGTCGACACATATTTTATCTTTGATGAAAACAGCCAATAAAAGTATGCCAATATGCTTCGTAAAGTCAAGTGCCACGAGTATAAATAGAAATTTAAGAAAAAAAATGAGAAACCTAAAGCCTTTAAGACTTTTCTCTATTTCTTCATGGTGAAATTTGATAGGAAAGAGAAAATAATTGTAGACTATATAAATTCATTAGATTTTCTTCGTATAAATTAGATATTTCTCCAATTTGCATTAGTCGTAAGACAATGTATTGGGCTACTATTTTGCTTATTGTTTTCTTGCCTATTGTTTCATCGGTTCGTCTATATGAACAATGTGGTGGTGAAGGATACGTAGGACCAACAGAATGTGATTGGCCATTACAATGTTTTCGACGATCTAATTGGTTTTCATCATGCCAAACATCATGTCCAGGTGGTGATTGGGAGTGTGCTTCAGCTGGAAGTTATCTCGGAGGCAATGCAGATGATGCTGGTGCACAAAATTGGGAACAATGTGGTGGAGAAGGATGGAATGGAGCAACTTGGTGTCTTGATTACCCGTGTGAACCACGTTCACAATGGTATTCTCAATGTCGACCAGATTGTCCAGTTGGATGGATATGTTCGGAAATTCCAGATGAAGAAATTCCAGACGAAGATTTAGAAGATTTAGAATTATACAATCCTGACGATGTTGAAGAAGAAGAAACTGAGACTGATGAATTTCCTGATCCTTCAACAGTTGACTTAGATGCACTTCAACAAAGGGAACAGGCACTTCTTGGAGAAGTTGACATGGAAGAAGATCCTTTTGCTGATGCACAGGACGAAGAAGAGGAATTTACAATAGGCCGACGACGACGAAGCATAGGTTAGAGAATTTTAATCTACTGAAAATTAAGATCTTATAGATACTGATTAGAAAGTTTTATAGTCTGATATAACGATAAATCAGTGTTACTCGTGATAAATATTAATGAGAATTTTTTTAGTTTTGATTGAGCTGTATAACTCGCCAAATCTTCTAGAATATTTAACTCAAAACATATGGTCACATCGATTTAATACTGAGAGTCAATATTTCTTTTCACATTAGTGATTTTTCGAATCCATGGCAGCTGTTCTCTGGACAGATACTTCAGCAGCATTTTCTCGGCAACGAAACATTGTTAGAACTTTAAGAAATCAAAAACCGATAAAAAGCATATTGAAATGAGAATTAGACATTGTCAATTTTAATATTGTGGAAGACAATACCGTGAAAGTTATTGTCTAAGATACAACATTTGTTTTACCAGATTTCTTACGAGAACTTTATTTCGAGAAAAAGACTTTACTTTCATTGTAAAGTACTTTACTTTCTCGATACAGTATGATTTACTGTAAACTTGGCTGAAATCTTCCATAAGATATCCTAATAAAGTTTTTCAAAAAAATATACCAATCTATCTAGCAAGTTTTCATCAATATTATTTTTATAAAGTGACAATAAGTTCTTTTTTTTTGTATCAAGTATAATCTGCAAATGTCGTACATAAATGGATGTTTTTTTATTTTAGTACGAGCAACCTCATGTAAAGCTAATGGAAAGAGTGGAACATGTATATCTACATCATCTTGTAAAGGTACATCTGTAGCTGGACATTGTCCTGGTGCAGCAAATATTCAATGCTGTATTCCCAAAAGTAGTGGTGGCAGTAGCAAACCTAGTGGTGGTGCTTGTGGAAGTTATGCTAAAGCTGCTGTTCGATCAATCAAGGGCAATGCAAATAAGGCTTATTCAGTAGTCAAAATCAAACAAACACATCTTGTCAACCCAGGTTCATATTCACTTTCACCAACATCGTCGGATAACACAATGACAACTTCAACGGCTTGTGCTTTCGATAAAATGGCTGCCGCAGCTAGAAAAGCTGGTGTATCGATAAAAATTGCTTCAGGTTTTCGTACTATTTCTCGACAACAATATTTCTGGAATTGTTATGTAACAAAGAGATGCAACAATGGTAATTTAGCTGCTCGACCTGGTACCTCAAATCATGGTAGAGGTATTGCTTTGGATTTAAATACTAATTGTGGCAAGCAAACACGTGCTAGACCAAACTGTGGTGGAAGTCGAGTGTATCAATGGTTGTACAAAAATGCTCACAAATTTGGATTTACTCGTACTGTTAAATCAGAACCATGGCATTGGGAATTTCGTGGAGCTGGTGTTCGTCGTGCTAGCTTTTCATAAGTTGTAATAAATTTGACATAATGTCAAAATCATTAAATGAGTTTTGAATTGCAAAAGCTTTTGCATAATAAAAAGATACTTTTAATCGATTCCTATGGTACATTCATAAAAAAGACAACCTTGCAATAGATATTCATTCTACTCATCTTTAGAAATATAAATCATGATAAATAATCAATTTTAACATTAGGCACAATGTGAACTACATATGCATAGATATTTAGAAGATAATAAAATGTCATAATATAAAGAAATCATTAATTTTTGAAAAGTATTCATGTGCTTGTTTTCCTTATATTTCATTGAGTTTGATTATTAAGCATAAATTTTTATTGGTTCAATTCTGATATTCTTGCTACTATATCAAATGTGAACTTATAGAAGTTATTTAACCTTTTCGCGCCGGGGTTTTTTCAGTAAGAAATGTGTTCGTATCCAATGGACAATTAGTTTTATCACAGTGTGTAAAAAGCTCGAGCGTCTGGAAGGAAAAGTAGCTTTCTGAATCGCTGGAAATTCTGTAAGTCAATGATCTTCACCATTTATAATATAATTTTTATATATAATTTTTATTAGAAGTGTTTCAATGTATGATAAGTTTCAAAACATGATACTACGCATAAACCAACATTGCACTCCTTGCAGTCGTAAATGCAATATTATGCATGTAAACAGAACAAAAGAAAATGTGAATAGAATACGCATGTGTGAGAGTGCTATATTATGATACTGACGGATGGCAGAACAGGAGACAAAACGCGCAAGTACAAGTCCTGCAGATTTAACAAACTACTTCTTTCAATTTTTTAAGACAGACGAAACGAAGCATTAAAAGCTTCGCATTAGAAATGCATATTTACTGTAAAATTATCATCCCCATTGGTCTTTCTATCCTTGTAATAGATAGAACTCCTCAAATACTCGTATCAAATTGTACTTGGAGTCGTATTACTACGGGCATATAATGAAAAACTCCGCCGTCCCATATATGGGACACCCGGAACGAGAGGGTTAATCAATTTCTCATCTGCAAAAAAAAGCAATCGTTTTCTGAACTCTATTTTTCAACGATATGTTTTGATATCATTTAAAAACTAGTATTTTTTCCCATATAAAAATTATTGATTCACAAAAGACTAATGATAATGGCATATATCCAGTTAACGTATGTGTATGATTTGTAACTGATTGCATTCTTTAAAACTTTATTTGAAATTAAATTAAAATTTGATCATCTTGTTTCTATGAGTAAAGAAATCAATTATATTTTAATTTTGATTTGTTAGTAGTTACTTCTATTTTAAGCACAAGTAAAATTGTTATTATAGATGCCATAATATCAAATAAATATTTTATTGTTTATCAATTTTATAAGAGACAGTTGATGTCTCTACAAAAAAAAACAGTAATGAAGAAGACTGAAACAATTATGTGTAAAATATTTACTTCAACTATTTCATAAATTTGAATTCTTCATATGCCATAAAATTTCTTCACTATTCATTCGTAAGCCTATATTGATTGATAGCATTTTATGATTGTTATCAACGAGTGCCTACAATTTTGTCGAATACAAAAAATGTCGATTGCAAATTTGTCGATAAAATTTGTCGATTCGACAAAATTTAAATCCAAATTTGTCGAATTCGACAAATTTTATTAAAAAATGTCGATTATGGGTATTGTCAAGCTTCGTTTCGACGAATTTCAAATTCAATTATAATCATCTAAAATCTGACTTAAAATCAAGTTGGAATCAAGTTGAAATTATGTTGAAATCATGTTGAAATCATGTTGAAATCATATTGAACTGAAGTTGATTTCAAGTTGATTCCAACTTGATTTCCACTTGATTTCAACTTGATTCCAACTTGACTTCAAGTCAGATGTTAGGTGATTATAACTGAATTTGAAATTCATCGAAACGAAGCTTGACAATACCCATAATCGACATTTTTTAGTAAAATTTGTCGAATTCGACAAATTTGGATTCCAATTTTGTCGAATCGACAAATTTTTTTTTCGACAAATTTTATCGACAAATTTGCAATCGACATTTTTTATATTCGACAAAATTGATGTTTCCCGTTATCAACATACAAAAAATATGAAACGTTCGCTCTTTCAGACAATATAGAAATAACATGCAGAAAGTGTCGATATAGATTCCACTCATTTGTAAATTGAGAACATGCATTTCATACGACAGCTGTATACTGAAACAAAATCTAGCATAGGTTAGTAAGTAATTAAATTGCAGATTACATTTTTTAATAAATATTTACTTTTAGATTTCATGTTATATCCAAATTGACTCCTAGCCATCTTCTTGATTGAATTTCTAATCTTTTCCCAGGCTTTCAATCATTTAAACAATAAAAATCGATATAAAAAAAGATCAAAATAACATGAAGCCTATAAAAATCCGTTTCTCTTTGTGGAACCGATACAATTCATTTTTTGTTTCACATCGATTTGAAAGCAATGCTATTCGTACTTACTTATATGTTGGTTTTCGGACCAGTAGTTGCATTAGCACAAACAGCATGTACTGCCAATGGAAAAAGTGGAGTTTGCATCCCAACAACATCCTGTACTGGCATCTCGCTCTCAGGTTTTTGCCCTGGTGCTGCCAACATTCAATGTTGCGTTGATAGTGCTGGTTCATCAGGTTCTTCTGCTGGACTTTGTGGAGGTTATGCTGGTTCTACAGTTAGTTCTATTGCTGGTAACAGTAATGTCATGTATTCAGTAGTCAAAATAAAACCAGAACATCTTTCCAACCCGGCTATTTATTCAAATTCACCAACAGCGTCCGATAACACAATGACAACTACAACAGCTTGTGCTTTCGATATGATGGCTTCAGCTGCTAAACAAGCAGGTGTCACAATCAAAATTGCCTCTGGTTTTCGTACTGTTGCTCGTCAAGAATACTTCTGGAATTGTTATCAAACAAAAGCATGTAACAATGGTAATTTAGCTGCTCGACCAGGTACCTCAAATCATGGACGAGGAGCTGCTCTCGACTTGAACACCGATTGTGGTTCACAATCAGGTGCTACACCTAACTGTGGTGGAAGCAAAGTTTATCAATGGTTAAAAAATAATGGACATAAATATGGATTTAAACGTACAGTACAATCTGAACCATGGCACTGGGAATATGTTGGAAGTGCTACTACTCCAAGTAGTTTTACTTAAAATCTAATGATAAAAGAACAGGTGTAAGAGAAGTATTGAATAAATGTTTACTCTTTTAAAATAAACGATGCTCACCTGTTTGAAAGAAACGAATATGATTATATTTTTGTGTATGTCATAGTTTATTCCTTACGATTATCAGAGATACTCTCAAACAATATTTATTTTTCTGACAATGGATTGTATTTCAGTTTGTGAGAAGCATATTAGAAAAATTTATGTTAGAAAAATACATTTTCGCTTCAATATGAGAAAAATACAAATATAATTAAGAACAGACATTGGCAATCGATTATTATGTTTTAGAAACTGACAATGTAGGGCTTCACTCGTGATAAGCTGAAGTACCTATGATTTGCTCGATTTCGAATTATTCAACAGAAAAAAAAGCTAGATTAATTTTTCTTGAAAATAAATAGACTGAACATAAATTTCAATTACAGCTAATCGTATAGTAATATGCTCTTACTCGATGCAAAATAGTAGAATATTTTATATATAATTGCTTAATACAAATCGGAAATATTTGACGTAAATTTAGAAGTTCTTTGATACTATTTTTCAATGGATATTCATATATTTGATCTGCTTTATTTCACTCCTCAATAGTCTTGTCAGTTTGATCAAAAGAAATTATTTATCTCAGATCATTATCGATGAACTTGTCGACGTTGTTATGATAGCATGACGGATCGATACACAAAACAAACTAACCCACAATATATAATTGACTGAAGGAAAGTCGCGATTTTACATAAGAAAAAAATATGTGCGTAGAGAAAGGAAACGTTTGATCCACATAAGTCAAAAGTTAGAAACAGAAGAAAATCGCTCATATTGGAGAATAGGGAAGCTATGTAATAGAAAAACAAATCTAATTCGACAGATGATTGGTCATTTATCACATTCGATTTCTGACATAATTCACAATAAACATAAGTAAAATTGAATCAATAGATATACAGACAGGCAGCATTCTATTATCCATATCTGGTAGACTACGATGCAAATATTTCTCGTATAAAAAGTGATTAAAGCAGAGATAGTATTAATATTGATCTTGGTGTATCAGAAATACAATTATTAGTAGTAGATTATGAGTTACTAATGTTGTAACAAGCTCAAAAATAAAAAAAAGAACTAGAATTAGCTTGCGATATATGTTAACAATAAAATTCTTTTTGGATTCCTTTTGAAAAGGATATTGGTATAATAAATGACTAGATAACTGGAATTAATTTATAGAAACTTGAGAAAAATGATCAAGCCTGATTGATGTGATAAATTGCGAGTCGATGCATCCCAAAAAAATCACACAAAAAAATGTACTTGAAAATCGTTGCACTAGATTTTATTCAGGTCAAAATATTGCTTATATCTAGTAACGTTTGATGAATATTCATTTATTATCAGTTACATTTCATAGGGACTCAATGATTTGGGCGTATCAAAAAACGCCTCAGATGATCTAAATTAAGCATAGACATAATCTATATGGCGTATCATGTTGCGCAAAGGCCAAATAATTGTCCGAAATCGGCAAAAAATCGCAAATTTCGTTTTATGTAATTGAATTTTGTATATAACTGCCTTCTAATTTTGAAGCTTATAACTCTCTTTCGGTATTCAATTTCCAATACAATGAAATTAGATATGAAAAAAATAAAAAACAATAACAAAACTAATATATGTTATATATAAACCCATCATATTTTTTTGAGAATAGAGGAACACATAGATTTTTCTTTCAATCTAGTCGAAAGCAATGATATTAACACTTACTTATTTGATCGTTTTTGGACCTGTGCTTGCGTTAGCAGCAACAGCATGTACAGCTCGAAATGCAAAAGGAACTTGCATTTCAACTGCTTCATGTACAGGTACATCAGTTTCTGGTCATTGTCCTGGTGCTGCAAATATTCAATGTTGTATTCCAAAAGGAAGTGCTTGTACCGCCAATGGCAAAAGTGGAACTTGCATTTCCACTGCATCCTGTGCGGGTACATCTGTAGCTGGTCATTGTCCGGGTGCTGCTAATATCCGATGTTGTGTTGCCAGTGGTGGTTCATCAGGTTCTTCTGCTGGACTTTGTGGAGGTTATGCTGGTGCTGCCGTTAGTTCAATCAAAGGCAATAGTAATGTCATGTATTCAGTAGTCAAAATACGACGAGAACATCTTTCGAATCCAGCTATATATTCAAATTCACCAACAGCATCCGACAACACAATGACAACTACAACAGCTTGTGCTTTCGACAAGATGGCTACGGCTGCTAAACAAGCAGGTGTTACAATTACAATTGCCTCTGGTTTTCGTACTGTTGCTCGTCAAGAATACTTCTGGAATTGTTATCAAACAAAATCATGTAACAATGGCAATTTAGCTGCTCGACCAGGTACATCAAATCATGGACGAGGTGTTGCTCTCGACTTGAACACCAATTGTGGTACACAGTCAGGAGCAAAACCTAATTGTGGTGGAAGCAAAGTTTATCAATGGTTGAAAAACAATGGACATAAATATGGATTTAAACGTACAGTACAATCTGAACCATGGCATTGGGAATATGTTGGAGGTGCTACTACTCCAAGTAGTTTCACTTAAAATGTAATGTTATAAGACATTGTGAAATTTAAAGAATAAATAATTGAATAATATTATTTGCATCTGCTCTTGCAAATTGACCTAAAATTCTAGAAGGATATTATTTCTTCAGTCTGATGATAGAAATGGTTTTAGTAAAAACAAACCAACAAATGAAACATCATAACTAAAGAAACAGTGTTCCTCGAAATTAAATAACAAAGATTTGCTCATGTATGAGAACGAAGTTTTGTGTAAAAAAATACTTTTTTATACATAACATTCATAGGACTCTAATTCCAAAAGATACATTCTGGTTCATATTTTAAATTTAAATGATGTTATCTTTCTTATTTTGGGGTGTGGATGCCACCGTTAGGAAGTTCGATACGCACAGTCTTAAATACTGAATAGTTCTAACTTAATACTGAGGTTTTCAAACTAATTACTACGCTAAGACTAGTCTTTTTTACTGACCGGAAACTACTGAGCAATTAAATACGATCCGTAAAAATTCTATAAGCCTTCATCATCAAATTCACATCGACTAACGAGGGAAGTCTTCCAACTGAGAACTCGTTTTTGAATCAAGCCTATGCACATTATGTAGACTCAAGAATGAGTTCTGATAACAGTTCGTGCTCTTAGCTTATTATTGCGAAAATACTGCACTTGTACAGTATGTTTTAAATGCATGCTGTGGTAACAGAAAAACATGATATTCGACTTTCTACTTGAAACTTTGCATTAGAAACAAGCTTTAATAAAAATAGTTTTATGTTCTTTAATTTTGTTCGAACCCAAGATAAGAAACGAACTGAAACATTCACAAGAAACCATTTTTGTTAGAGTTTACCTTTGTGCAGTTGGACGTGAAAATTTGAAAATCAATTTTTCTGTTAGCACAGAATTCATTTTAAAAAAAATACTACGAATCTGCCGCATCTCAACAGCAATAAGCTAAGGACACGAACTTTTGTAAAGTGTTTATAACTCATTTGGGTCGACATGATGTATGTAGTCTCGATTCAAAAGCGATTTGTTAGTTCCAGGACTTCTTTAGTACAACAAAAGATCATTAATTTGCTCGAATCATTAGGATTTACCCTGTATAAAATCAAAGAGATTGATCATCTTGACCACTGATACTGTTTGAAAACTGACAATGGCAAATTATTTATTATGTGAATACCAATTTTGATGGTAAATAAGCTTCAGATACAGTTAATGAGTATATACCAATAATTAGATCAAAAGAGATTTCTATAACCCAAATACAAACTATCTTTTTTTTTTGTATCTCAATAATTCTGCCTGTATACGATTTATGACATGTTTCAAAATGTGAAATATCTTCAAAACCAACCGGAATCGAACGACATCTTCACAACCGTTGAAGCATTGTGAAATTAATAAGCAACTATTCCAATAGAGGAGGAAGGAGGAATCATCTTCAATTTATTTGTTTATTTTTTTATTTTCTAAATTTAAAAATTCTACTTTTTTTATATTTCTCTTTTAGTTCTACTCTTTACAGTCATATCTCATTAAATAGCATATTCATTAGTAAGTTCTTGCCTTTTCCGGTACATTCCATAGGGTTCTTTACGGTAAAATACTGATTATATAACTCGTTCGTAGAGTGCAAATTGCATCAGCATGAACTTTAACATATATAAGCTAAAAACAATTTATTTATTCATATTTTCTTTATTCAGATCTGTTCATATTATTTTATCATACCTAAATAAAAGAAATGTTCGTTCAACGACGCGTTTTCAATGCATGTCTAAAACATTTAACACCAAGAATTAGTCATGAGCAATCATCAATAATTCGAGTACATATTTTTCAAATTCTTTAAATCTTTATGATTTACTTTTCTTCTATTTCAGGCAACAATTCAAGCACAAAGTATTCGTCATAAAAGGTATATTTTTATATATTGAACATATAAATTTTGTTTTATACGAATATATATATATATTTATATAAATATAGTGATTCGAAAGATGTATCTAAAAATACTGGAGGCAAAGTCAAAGGAAATATCATCGGTATTGATTTAGGTACTACAAATTCATGTGTTGCTATAATGGAAGGCAAATCACCTAAAGTATTAGAAAATGCTGAAGGTTTGTTAAAAAGATTTTTTTTTTGTTCATTTAATTTTTACTTTTTTATTTTATATTGAAAATTTATTTTAGGTATGCGAACAACACCATCAGTTGTTGCTTTTACAAAAGATAATGAACGTCTTGTTGGTATGCCTGCTAAACGTCAAGCAGTAACAAATCCTCAAAATACATTTTATGCAACAAAACGTCTTATTGGAAGAAAATTTAACGATGATGAAGTTAAAAAAGAAATGTAGAAAAACACTTCTTTTTTATTTTGAAACTTAATAATAAAATTTATTTTGTTTAGGCAAAGTGTATCATTTAAAATTGTTCGTGCATCAAATGGTGATGCATGGGTTGAAGCTAATGGTAAAATGTATTCTCCAAGTCAAATAGGTGCTTTTGTTTTAATGAAAATGAAAGAAACAGCTGAAAATTATTATGGTTCACCTGCTAAAAATGCTGTTGTTACTGTGCCTGCTTATTTTAATGATTCACAACGACAAGTAAATTAAAAAGAAAAAATTTTTTTTTTTTTTCATATTAAAATAATGTTTTATTATAGGCAACAAAAGATGCTGGTCAAATAGCCGGTTTAAATGTTCTTCGAGTTGTTAATGAACCAACAGCTGCTGCACTTGCCTATGGTCTTGAAAAAACGAATGATAAAATGTAAGATACAAAATAGATGAGGGTGCATAAGAATCAGTTTTTGCAATGGTTGAGTTGGCAAATCTAATTGTGTATAAATGTTGCCGCAAAGTCTTAAACTATAGGTATTTATATTCGATCATCATCATAAGATTATTCATGTGGTGAGCGAAGTAGACAGACTTATAGTGTGATTAACAGAGCACGAATTGAGCTGTATTTTGATATCAAAAGGTTATACAAATGGTCTTTCATTGAATCGTGAATAGTCGGAGAAGAGAATTTGAGCAGTTCAAATCGATGCATTTTCGGTTACTAGTCGATCTTGACAGGCGAATATCTCAGAAAACAAAAATGAACATATCGTTAAAATTTCTGTGCTTATAGATTACATGAAAGACTAAAATAACATGTGTAAATTGTCGAAGAGATAATATGAACACATGTTTGAAGCCGAGACCATTTTGTTGAGTTAGATAAAAGTAGCCATTCTTTGGCTGATATTTGTCAATTGTTGTCAGATTCATTATTATTCTAGTCAAAACAAATAACATATTTGGAATCAGTATCGACAATTGAGTCGACCGATATATGTTTCAAATTCTTCGGACAACTTTTACTTTCGTCGGAAAATTCAATCCTAGTGTTCTTCCCCTTCAGGATTCAGCTAAAAAATGAAGCCAATCAAAATCTCATTTGAACAGTTGAAAGCAAGTTTTGATCATGTAAAATGATAATAGGACTCAATAAGGCATATAACTATGCATTAAAAAATAGCGTTATGATTGATTTCCTTTGTTGACTGAACATTGAAGAGGATTTAGTTGTCTGAACAATTTAAAATATTTATTGGTTAATTCATTTGGCGATGCTGATTTCAAATATGTCATTTGTTTTGACTATAAAAAATGACAAATCTGACAAGAATCGACAAATATTAGTCAAAGAATCACCAATTTCACCTATCTGAATGAGACAGTCATCATCCCGAACATTTGGTCATACTTTTTCACTAAGAGTTTGTGTACATTCACAAATACCCGCCATATTTTCTATTAGTACTGAAATTTTGGCAATATCTTCATTTTTGTTTTTTGAAATATTAATCTGTCAAGATCGACTAGTGTCACAATATGAAAAAATCTTCTGACGAGAGTCAAGCTGATAAAAAAAGCATAACTAACCATAATTTAAGACTTCATGACAATATTTATACACGGTTTGGTTTTTCAGCTCAAGCATTACAAAGTCTAATAATTGTTAAAGTTCTTTGTGAGAAAAAAAATTAAGTGGGTCACAACTGGTTCTTAAGTTCCCTCTTCTTCTATTTTCCGACAATATGATATAATATATTGTTTTATTTAGTATCGCTGTATATGATCTCGGTGGTGGTACATTTGATATATCTATTCTTGAAATGCAATCAAATGTATTTGAAGTACGTTCAACAAATGGTGATACATTTTTAGGTGGTGAAGATTTTGATAATGCATTACTTAAACATCTTGTTGCTGAATTTAAAAAAGAAGTATGTTTTATTTATTTCTCGTTAAGAATTTTTGTTTTATAAATTTGTTTATTTTAAGAGCGGAATTGATATAACAAAAGATCCACAAGCTATGCAACGTTTGAGAGAAGCAGCTGAAAAAGCTAAATGCGAATTATCATCAGCTGCACAAGTATGAATAAAAAATTTTATTATGAAAAAATCAATTTTTATTTTCAATTCAGACTGATATCAACTTACCTTATTTAACAATGGACTCATCTGGACCAAAACATATGAATTATAAAATAACTCGAGCACAATTTGAAAATCTTGTTGCTCATTTAATTAAGCGCACAGTCGGTAAGTAATGAGATTTTTTTTCGAGTTCACAATAATCATCTGTCTTTATTTTTTTTTTTTAATTTAGACCCATGTAAAAAAGCTATTAAAGATGCTGATGTTAAATTAACAGATATTAATGAAGTAATTCTTGTTGGTGGTATGACTCGAATGCCTAAGGTAAATAACAATTTAATTTTGTCTAACAAAATTTCTCATAATGCGTAAATTTCTCTTAAGGTTCAACAAACTGTTCAAGAACTTTTTGGTAAAGCACCAAATAAATCTGTTAACCCCGATGAAGCTGTTGCTATGGGTGCTGCTATTCAAGTAAAGTTTTAATAAATTTTTTTGTTCTATTTATTTCTTTTCTCAATAAATATATAGGGTGGTGTACTTGGTGGTGATGTAACTGATCTTCT